CCCTGAGGAAACTTCAGCTCTATCATATTTTTCTGTAGGAAGCACAATTCTCTTGGATCCTCGAGGAATTTTGGGCAAACTATGGAGATGATCCGTAAACCATACCATACCCTCAGAGGAATCACAGTCAACATCAAAATTTTCAACTTCTTCACGATTGTTGCATTCAAAAGATTTTCACCAATTCAGACACAAAAGAAAAAAATGAAAAGTGACAAGTTTAGTAGAAGCTTGTCTCAGGAACCCATTGTTTGATCATACCATCGACCTTGTATTTGCAGACTATAATATTTATTACTATTAGATTTTCAATTTTCTACCTAGAATGTAAGGGTATGACTCACTTGTCATTGTCTATGGCTTATTTGTAATTTTCTTTTTCTTTTGTGGAGTTGCACCATCATTCCGAGAGGGTAACAGTGTAACACACCACTTGATGATTCGATAACCTTGTTATGTGATCATTACTGAAGTTTTAAAACATGGAGTTTAAAGTCACCATCATAAATCCGTAATAGCAATGAGGAAATAAGTGCATTTAAGTGTTAACAATTACATGAGCTTTATAATGTACTAGATTAGGTCCCGTGATAACATAATATTTTCAAATCAGTAAAAAATAAATAAAAATGTATAATATAAAACAAAATAACCTCAGAGAGTCAGAGACATGACTATCACTCTTAAAAACAAATAAAATCATATTAAAAACATAAGGAATCTCATACGGGTTAAAATTTATATCAATTAATAATTATTTGTTTATTTTGATTCTCTTTTTTTCTAATTATGTTTTGATTACTTAATCCCCAATACATTAGTTTAATCTTTTTTTTTTTAATTAATATTAAAATATTTTTTCTTTTCTCCCTTAGAATATAAATCTTTTTATCTCAGAATATGAGACATTTAAAATAAAAATTCTTTTTTTCCGTTAGAATATGAAAAATATATTTCCCTTTTTTAACACGTTTTTAATAAGTTTTTTTTCACATTCTTTTGCCTTTTTCGTTAGAATATGAAACTTTTTTCTCTTTGTAAATGAGGCATTTAAAAATATGTTTTTCCTTTTTTTCCTTTGGAATTCGAATAACATGTACTACAGTACGGCGATAAATTCGATTTCGATTCAATTGACTTAGATTCAAGTAATCTCCACTCTTTTCTTGAATTTTTAAAGACATAATTTTTAAATTAGAGAAAGATAATCAAAGAGATTTGATGAATTTGCTTTGATGAGCTTGTGAATAAGAAAAAAAAAGATTACCTTAACTCTCTTTTTATAAGGGTTCACATAACCTATTTCATGCAATTATAAGAAATTTAGTTTACATAACCTATTCCATGTACTAATAGGATTTTTTTTATTACATTATTTTGAATTTTATATGTCTTAAAGATAATATAATTTTAATGAATGAAAAACCTTTTTTCTATCAGAATATGACAAATATTTTTTTTGAATAGTTGTCTTCTTTTTACTATAATAGATTAAAATTTCCTTTTTCTTACATTTTTTAATTTATTATTTTTTTCTTTTTTCATCCAAGACACTTCTCACGATCTTAACAGACGTAACATTAAAAGTGACACATGTCACGATCCTATAAATTATACAAATCTTACGTGTCGCAACCACGTCCCGCGCATCCAACTTTATATAATAAAATCGACATTAATTCTTAAACAATATAAACAATACGCTTACTTTAACGAATTATTTTACACTTGCGACTGATTTAAGCGTTTGATATCAATCTACTAATATAATACACAACAAAACCGTTCACTAGCAACTTCTTAAATCCTAAATATCTACTTGATCACATATTTTGCCGCGAGTATTTAGTGGGCTCTTGGCCGAAAGTAACTAAAGTTTTAAGGACTAACTAGGCGGTTGAGATTGCGGGAGTTTGCGGAAACGGGAGTTTGTGATTAAAAACATAATGAAGTTGTCTATAATAATATGACTGGTATAGCAATTCATAGCGATTGCATTTGCGGAATATTTTTGACTGATTGGCCAGCGGGTGCAAAAGTGGTTTAACCAAAAATTACTAAAATAAACATAATATATAATTATTCAATATATAGTATACCCTAATTCCAAATTTGGAGATAATCGTGATTTTTTTTCCATCCGCCATCGCACGCAACCACAAACGCTTGTGGAAATGAGCTTTTGATTTTCAGCGATATAAAGCAGTACATAGTAGTATAGAGCGGTTGTTGTGATTGTTATAAAACATCAATAACGGCTACCAACCTCTGCATTTGCGTTTGCGAATGGTATAAACCAATCATCACCTTAGATAAGAATATAAATAAAGTTTACTAACCTTGATACCAATCTGATCCGCTGTAGCACACACGCTAATTTCAGAAATTTGAGTAACAGTGTTCTGTATCCCACCCTTTGGAAATCCGGGTTCAACTCGGCAGCGGAAATATACTCCATTTTTCAAGCTTTAAGAGAGGTGAAAGCTTTGGAAAAGGAACGAAACAAGATTCTTCTTCCGAGCTCTTGATTTTTCAGGTGAAGTGAACTAAGTCTCATGATGTCGTTTTGGGTTTCCTTATTTTAATTATCTCTTTCTCACGTCTTAATAATGATTAGAGGACATCTAATTAAAGTACTTGTAATCTTCCTCTCGGTGAACTTGTAATCCATACACATTGTCAGCGTATATATGTGTTAAGTAATAAAATAAGCAAAACCGATCTCGAACCGCTTCAATATAAACGCGATGGACTCTGATACTCAGCTACAAGAGTTTCTTCTTGTCCAAGAAACAATCTTTTGACTTTGACTAGTTATATATGTGATGTTAAATTAAAGTGGACGCGATGGACTCTGATACTCAGCTACAAGAGTTTTTTCTTGTCCAAGAAACAATCTTTTGACTTTGACTAGTTATATATGTGATGTTAAATTAAAGTGGATTGTAACTTACATTGATTAGGGCCTGACTGGTTTAAACGCTGTGGTTGTGGTTGCGGGAGTTTGCGGAAGTGGGAGTTTGTGATTAAAAGCTGTTTGTACGACTGGTATAGCAATTCATAGCGGTTGCGTTTGCGGGATATTTTGACTGGTTAGCCAGCGGGTGCAAGAGCGGTTTAATCAAAAGTTACTAAAATAAATATAAAATATTAATACCCTTAAGTTTGTAGTTTCTACTAAGGTGATGATTGGTTCTCCCGCTACCACCCGCAAACGCTGTTTGTGGTTCGTAGCGGCTCTTAGCGTTTTATAACAATCATGACAACCGCTTTCAACCGCTCTATATCTCTTTGTACCGCTCTATATCGCTGGAAATCAAAAGCTCCTTTCCGCAAGCGTTTGCGGTTGCGGGCGGTTGCGGTTTGAAAAAAAAAAAAAAAAAACATAATATCTCCAAATTTGGAATAAGGGTATATTTTTTTGAAAAATACCACTAATTATGTTTAAAAATTTCGAAAATACCTAGATTTTTTCTGTTTTGAAAAATACACTTTCGGAATGTAAAAAGTCTGTTTTGACGTGATTTAAACAAAAAATTAATAAATAATTACAAATTAAAAACGAAATTAAAAAAATAATAGAATTAATAAGTTTTTTTTTCAGATAAATACAGTATATGTTAAATTGAAACAAATTTTAATATTTTGGACCTTTATACAAACAACTTAACCTCATACACATTCAAACCAAATGAAACTTTAAATAAATTAAAACTTTACAAATATTTAAAGTTTATAAATTATTAAAAATTTAAAAGTGGAGAAATATATCTTTCATTTTTAATGTTTATCTTTAGACAAATTTAAATATTTTTGAAACTTTATATAAACAACTTTAATCTCACCCATTTAAACTTTATATAAACAAAACATTTATAACTATATTATTAATAGAATTATTTTAGAAATATATTCTTTGATGAATTTTTAATTTGAAAACTACCTTTTTTTTAAAAAAATACACTTTTTATATGTGAAATGATTATTCCTAATTTGAACTTTTAAAATAATTTAATAAAAACGAAATTCAAATAAGAAATATAAAATATTAAGATTTGATAATAATTTTGTATCATACTAAACCATCCTAATTACCTATTTAGATTTTAAAAAAAAAATCAATAAAAATCTAAGGTTGTTTAATATCACTGTTGATAACAAACTCAAAATACTTACCATTGATCATACAAGAGAAAAGTAATTATTGAATGGATGTACAATTTGAAACTTGAGACATTACTTCTTTACATTTTCAGACTAACCTCATATAGTATGCCCAAAGTAATTAAAGGGTTTTGTGTAACAGTCTTTGAACGGCCAATTTTGAGTTTAGATAAGTAATTAAATATAAATTAAGTTTAAGTTTACTTACCTTAATACCAGTTAGATCCGCTGTAGCACACAGGCTAATTCCTAATGCTCTCTTGAGCCCAATTATGTTTCTGTTCAGTATTCCACTCTTTGGAAATCCGGGTTCGACTCCAGGCAGCGGAATTTTATTAGTTTTTTTCTTCTTTTTTTGTTTCAAGAGCAATATTTTGTGGACATTATGTTGACTTAGCCTATTATAGAGCTTTATTATGAACTAAAGCTCCCAACCACAGCTTCTTCCAAGTGACCATATTTCCTTAAGTGAAGCCTCGAGAGACTAGTTTTTATTGAATGACTTGTACAATCTTACTTCTTTACAATTTCAGACAACAATAAAAACTAGATTATGCAGAGACTTTAAGCTTACACAACCTCCTAATCCTCTTCAAGCTTCATCGAACCAACCTCACTATCAGGGAGCGTTTTCGCCAGCTCGGTCACATCTCTCCCCACAAACACGTTGATTCTCTCCACAACACAACTTTAATTTCCATTTTCATGCCTTTGATCTCATACAGTCTCCAAACCAGACCCTTGAGTAGTTTCAGTTCACTCCCATTCCTTTTGTTTCTTCACAATGCTTCCATTCCTCTCTCCACAAGCTCTCTCACTGCATCCCCATCTTATCTTCAACCAAAGTGTATAATAGCACAGAACGCACCCACAAACGTCAAGACCCAGCAACTGTTATCCACCAACAACTCTCTTGATGGGTTTAGCCTTTTGAATATATCAGGGAGAAGACTCTTCATCACAGGAATCACAAACTCGTCACCTTCAAGCCACATTGTCAAGCACTGGAAGATATAAACCGCTCTCTCAAACTCTGTTTCGCTTTTCGATGCAATGTACTATCGTAGACCGTACCATATTGCTAGACTTAATCAAACGATGGATCTTCTTCGCAGCTTCCTTGATGTGTGCTCCGAGTTCTCTGATCTTGTACATGAAGGTGTACACAAAGTTGCATTGAAGATCATTGTAAATGTACAAGTTCTTGTCTCTTGACAAGAACCTCTCGAGATTATCAAGACCTCTTAGCAGAAACTGCTCCATTCCCTTCTCCACCAGCTCTATCGCTGCTTTCTGAAGAACGGAAAGAAGATTCTTAACCAAACCGAGTCTCATCTCAGAATCCAAAAGCTGAATCCCCATTTTCACAACAATTTCTAAAGCCAAACTCCAATCTTCTACTCTTATCTTTCTCATCGTCAAATGTTATATACACCACGAAGGCTCGAACTCTTACCATATCTAAAGCCAATACATACAGAACCCATAGCTAGAGCCTAGAGAGTTCGTCAAGTGTTCACAAACCTACAATAACCTAACTGTTGCATGTTTTCCATACTTCGTCCCTTAGATATCACCTGATTATAAGAACATATACACCTCTTACCAAATGTCTGCACTGATACCAACTGTAAGTGTAGAAAAGCTGATAACAAGCAACGACAAATTTTTCTTGTACTAGATTCTTACAAGTAAAACAACCGATGACGCTTATTATTGGTGTTACACAACTCTAATCACTTAGATTGTTCTTTAACTATCCGATCCTAACGTGGACTAAAAATATGTGTGAGTTAACATAACCACAGCCTAATTATATATGACTAGGTGTGAGCCCGCGCAATGCACGGATGGATGTATACTAACTATTTAATATTTATTTATTAGGAAATGTCAATAGTAGCAAAGGAAGACTTCTTTTATTCGAGTTTGTATAGCACAAGCATTAAGCAAATACACCAAGTTCACGAGGTTATATGAACAAACTCAAACACAAACATCACAGATTATGAAAGAAAAAAGGAAATGTATAACAAGCCTGAGACACAAGTCCTATATCCAAAACAGAGTCTCTCTGGCCTTGCTCCACCTTCCCACATTACACGTTCAGACAGAATCTGCAGCCAATAAAAGAAAAAAAATTGTTATTGGGATTTGATGAAAGTTGGTAATAAGGTTAGTAAGAGTTATTGATTTACTCAACTCTGACATCCACCCAGGTTGAGACTTCATCCAAGCTCTCGAGGAGATGCATGTTCTGTAGTTTTTTTGACTGAAAAGCTTGAGTCTGATGGAACACAAAACTAAGCATGAGAAACACGAAAAATGAAAACACTCACCTTTAACGAATCAATACTCTTTCTACTTTGAAAGGCAACTTCCGTTCCTGCATTTGGAGAGAGGAAACGAAATGCTTACAGCTTTGGTGGACGGAGGATCAGGAGTTCCTTCTGATTTTTGCATTTCCTTCTCATCTGATGCAAGTGAATCATCCCTGAAGAATGCAAGTGAATCATCCCTGAAGAAGAAACGAAGGAAACATTTTCAAACAAGCGAGAGAAGACAATGTTTTGGAAAGTAAAAAAACGTTGATTATAGGACAGACCAGTCAGCTTCAGTGGTTCTCTTTAACAACTAAATATTGCTTTAAGAGAAAGAGATGAATCTCAAGTTGCTTATCCATTTGCATATCATATGAGTAACATTAACGAAATCGTCTCTTTTTGGTTAATAACCAATAATCAAATGATTTTGAGCAAACAGAGGTGGGACAAGAGAGAAGAACAAACCCTCCAATGGCTCCAAGAGGTACTGCGTCTGATTCTTTTGCAGCCGAGATGGTCTCCTTAAGCAAAGGCTGTCCTACCAAGATCCAAAGCAGCTCCTCCTATGGGCATCTGCCGGATAAACAACACAGAAGCAATGCTTAGACAAACCGTGACCAGTATTCCAAATAAATCCCAACTATGATTCTATATCTAAACTCCCCATGGATAATAAAAGTCCTTTCTCCAAAAGAAAGAAAAACATATGATTCCGCTTCTCACGTCTTTTAATTTGTGTCAATTTCATTTCCAAACAGAAACGGTAAATGTAGGACCGCGAAAATCCAGATTGAAAAATACGAATGAAATTCTTATATAATAATAATATATAGTAAGAAATCCGATTGAAAACAGACGAATACACAGAGGCGAGATTTTATCTCTTTCCTTAACTCAATAAATCTCCCGCAGTGTGGCGGTTTTGATGAGACTTTTGAATCCCAGGATACAACTGTGTGAGACTATAGTTGCAACACCCAACTACAGAATCTGCGAACTAAATAACTACGCTATACTCTCGAGACTTACTTTTAGAGAAGAAAGGAAGAGATGTGAGAGATTTGCTGGAGTGTTTGATTTTTGAATGAATTGGTGAATGAATGAATAATGAGAGAGGTGAGGCCCTTTATTTATAGGTGATAGGAGACTTGCTCTCCAAGGAGGAAATATCCTTTTTTGATGTTTACCAAAAAAGATAAGGAATAATTCCATTAAAGGATAATGAATAATTCCATTAAGGGATAAGGAAGAATTCCATTATTCCATTAAGGGATAAGGAAGAATTCCATTATTAATTTCTTGTTTATCAAACAGAAACTGAACTCAATCTTTCTAGAAGTTTCTGGAAGATTTATTCTTGACATTATTCCTTTTTTCCAATTTGGGACAAATGAAGTGCTCCTTCATTTAACTCACTTAACTTTCTCATTAATTTTACATGAGCCTAAGCCCATTTCTTTTCACACTTGTCCACAATTTTATTCAGCCCATTTGGCTTAAAAATTTGGTTCCAACAGTAAATTCCCAAAATTATTTCTTGTTCAAATCGGAAACAAAGCAGGAACAACATTAAAAGTATGAGATCAAAAGTGAGAAACTGTCTAACGGTTCTTACCGGCTTTGATCAAATTTATGTGATTTGGTTAACGGAACATAAGGATATACTTTGAGCTGCTTCAACTTTCTTCTCGTCCTGATCGCGCTGCTGCAGAACCTGGAGAGGTTTAAACAATACTCTCCACACTCATCCGAAGCTAATCATAACGACAAATTTGATCATGAATCTGAGATTGAAGCAAATCTTTTTCTTACAAGCCTAATTGCTGCGTTTTGGCCAAGAAAATTCTATGTTTCTCTTTTCTCTCGGGAAAATCACAAAGAAACCTACCTCACGGGAAGCAATCCTGAGAAATTCGGATTTGTATCTGAACAAACGGATCATATGCTCTTCTGCTCTTCTTGCATAAGTCCTCGGCGACAGAAGGAGACAACTGTTAAACAAAACAGAGAGTAAGATATCATCGTCACCATTACAAAATTGGCCGAAAGTTTCAGCTTATGGATACATTCAACCTCAAAAATCAAAACATTAGCAAAGTAACAATGTTATTTGATAGTTGATTTCACCTTAACGACTGGTGAATGAAGTTGAGGAGAGACGCTTTTAGTATGAAGATTACGCTAAAGGGAATATAACCGTTGTATCAAGATTCCAAGCAACAGCTGCAGCAGCAACTTCGATGCCAATGTAACGACCACCAACAATGACAAGTTTATTTAATTTGCCTTAACAATCTGTACAAGAGAGGAAGCAAAGATGAAAAAACTTCAGAAATCACCAAAAAGCAACAGTGAACAAACAAACATTGTTAACATAAGTCAATGTCTTGATTCATTTTGGTTTAGCAAAACACAAGCCACAATGTCTACTCATATTCCATAATTAGACCTGTTGAGGGGAAATTTGACGAGATCAGATACTTGAAAGGAATGTTGATACCTGATCATTGATATTAGCATCTTTCATCCTCTGAGTAGAGAGATCTCCTTGGAAAAACTATGTACTGGCGTCAACCAACCTGTTTAATCAAATAGAACAAACACCTTAACTAAGTCCGAAGTAGCAACTAAAATAATCAAAAGTAAGAGAAGAGAAATATTTGTAAACATCAAACTGTTCTTAATGATAAGCTCTTACTCTTAAAGAGTACTTATGCCACAAAACACAGTCTCTCATGAACAAATCTAATTGAAGCAAAATGTATTCAAAGGAAACTCACCCAAAATCAACCACACTCGGCATCAGATCGGAGAGAACGCTTTTCGCATTGAAATCCACCTTCACCGGAAACCGATCGATATCTCCGATTTCGATTTGATAAATATCCTCACAGTCAAAGGTCGATTTGCCACATAGATCTATATACCATTAAAATGAAACAAAGAAAACCCACATATCATGAAGGTTCGTAGTTTGTGATTTAAAACCCACATAGACCTATTTAAAGAAGGCATATAACTGGGCGGATGAAGTGAGGATCTGTAACTGTTGCCGTTTGAAGTTTGATCGTCAAGTTCACCGCTTCGAGGAAGAAGAAAGGTAGGCGAGTGGACTGATTTAGCTCACCAGTGAGAAAAAAAAAAAAAATTCTGGATTTCCTGTAAAAGGCTGACGTGGCGCAACTCGGGAGCTCACATGTGATGAATAGAAACGATGTCGTTTTGGCGTAATTCGGGAGCAGAAGAAACGACAGCGATTTAGGGAGATATAAAGCAGAGTTAAGTAATAAAGGGAGGGATGACGTGGCACTAAAAGTGCTGATATATCATCAGCTGGAGAGTGTTACAAGCACTTTCAATTATATAGATTCGACATAACTATTTTTAATTTTACTCAACAATCTTTTCCCTCAACTTTATTTCTTTCATGATTTAAGAATTACAGACTCTTTCCTAAGCGGCTCATATTAAATTAGGCTAAGTTATGTTATTTTTAAACCAAGCTCGATTGTTTTTTCACGAGGAGAAAAGCCAATAAAAACTTGCCTCTTGAGAGTTAGAAAAGAAAAGATGATAAAGTACAAGTCGACGTTACCTCACATCACATGGCAGACAAAAGACAGAGCGGGTCAGTCGGTGATAAATATATTAGTGTTTATATAAAACGAAGCCTAATTACGTGCCCATAAGACCCTCTTTCTCCTTTTCTTTTTGTCTTGTGCACTGAAAATTTATCTCATCTCTTAAACAAAGCTCAGCAGAAAGGAACCAGAAAGGAACCATTGAAGGCATCAGGTTTTTGGATTCTGGTCCGGAAATCAATCATCGTGATGACAGTCTCTTTTTATGCAAAGCTTTCTCTGGGCAGTGTAGAAAACTATGAAGCATTCTATCTTCCTATAGAGCAGCGATTGGCCAAATGATTAATATCGATAAATCATCCATATCTTTTGAAAACAAAGTCAGTGGTCCGGTTAAAAAGGAAGCTCAGAGCATTTTGGGTATTTTAAAGGAAGGTGGAGCTGGGAAGTATCTGGATCTTCCTGAATGCTTTAGTGGTTCCAAAGTGGAGATGCTTAATTATTTGAAAGATAGGATGAAAGGTAAACTATCGGGATGGTTTGATAGAACCTTATCTCAAGGAGGTAAAGAAGTTTTGCTTAAATCTGTTGCTATGGCGATGCCCATATTTGCTATGTCGTGTTTTAAGTTACCTGTCACGACGTGTTCTGCTCTTTCCAGTGCTTTGGCGGATTACTGGTGGAGTTCTTGTGAGCATTCTAGGAAGATTCATTGGCAAAGTTGGGAAAAGCTTTGTCTTCCAAAACATCTTGGAGGTATGGGTTTTAGAGACATTGGTCTTTTTAATCAGGCTCTACTTGCTAAACAGGCGTGGAGGATTTTACAAGTCCCAAATTCTTTGCTAGCAAGACTTTTAAAGAGTAGATATTTCCCGGTGAATGATTTTCTAAATGCTGGTCTTGGAAATAGACCCTCGTATGGGTGGAGAAGTATTTCCTTTGGAAAAGAATTACTGGCTGAAGGTTTGGTTAAGAAAGTGGGTAATGGAGCTTCCATTAATGTCTGGGGAGAGTTATGGATTGAGGATGTCGTAATGCATGCCCCTCTGATGAAGAATGATAGGATTAATATTGATCTAAAGGTGGAAGAGCTTATCGATTTTAGCTCAAGAGGTTGGAACCTGAGTAAGTTAGAGGATCTGTTTTACCCGGCTGATGTTCAAAGGATTTTGAAGCATAAACCAGTGGTTTCTAAGAATGATTTCTTAGTTTGGAAACTGAATAAAAGTGGACAGTTTTCAGTAAAATCGGCTTACTGGTTAGCGTACCAAATCAATAAGGCTGAGCTCCTTCACCGTGCAGCAGACTTACCCTCTATCAGTACCCTAAAAGAGCAAGTTTGGAAGTTACAAACTGATCCAAAGATCCAAACTTTTCTCTGGAAAATACTGAGTGGAGCAGTTCCTGTTGCAGATGGGCTACAAACTAGAGGTTTAAAGACTGATGATCTTTGTCAGATTTGTGGATTGGCGGGAGAGTCTATCAATCATGTCATTTTCAACTGCTCGATTGCTCGTCAGGTTTGGGCACTTTCAAACTATCCACATCCTTTGAATGGTTTTGATAATGGGTCAGTTTTCTCAAACATTCATCATCTTTTGGTTAACTGTAACAATGAGTTGTGGCCAGTAGAGTTGAGATCTTGTTTCCCTTGGATCGTTTGGACTATTTGGAAGAACAGGAATTTGTTTCTGTTTAAAGGCGAATCCTTTAGCCCTTTGGAGTCTGTTAAAAAAATTAGAAATGATGCAGAAGAATGGTTTTTGGCTCAAAAACTTGGATTAGAGGAAGACAGAGAGGTTATCAAAAACAGAGGGTTTCATGAGAATGCAGTCACTAAGTTATTGAAGCCTTGGTCTGCTCCTCCTTTGTCTTGGGTTAAATGCAATATTGGTTTCTCGTGGTCCAAAAGGAACAAGTTTGCAGGAGCTAGTTGGGTGCTAAGAGATGAGAAAGGGTTAATTCTGCTTCATAGTAGAAGAGCTTTTTCTGGAGTGATTGATGTTTTTGAGGCAAAACTCTTAGTCTTTATGTGGGCGATAGAGAGTATGATTAGCCACAAAATAGAGAAAGTGGAGTTTGCTTTGGAGGATGTCTTTTTGGTGGGAGTTGTTATCAGCGATTTGAAGCCGCTGAGATTCATCTGTTGCTATCAGCGATTTTGGACTGGAAAGTGGTGTTAGAAAGGGTCTCAGCAAATAGAGGAGCAAATCTCATTGCACAAAGTGTGACCAGTGATTGTCGTCTTCATTCTTATGTTGCGATAAGTCATCCTTTTTGGTTAAATGGTGTTTTTGCAGATGAAAATGTTCTATCCTCTGTTTGAGCTCAGTTTTTCAGGTGTTCTTTGGAGTATAGGCGAAGCTTTTTACATGGCTTATCATTTGGCTCTCTTAGAGTTAGCAATGTGGTTAATTTTCTTTCACTTGCTGGCCATGTGTTTTTTGGGCTTCTGTATTTCAAAAACTTTGTATTCCACCTTGATTTCAATATAATTCACCCAGATGACCAAAAAAATAAAACTACGTGCCCACTAGTTCTATTATTTAGCAATTTGTCAACGACTAGCATGGTTAATTTGATACAACTAACTCAAATATTGTTTTATTTTATTTTTAATACTTTTTAGAGAGGGCATTACTCATATTGTATTCCGGCGTTAAGAAAATACCAAAACAATTCATTGGTATACACAAAACAAACGTCTTAACTCCAAATATTACTTTGCAATCTCTCCATCTCTGAAGACCACGACAGCCATGAATACGGTGAATTTTGACGGACACGAGCATTCTTTATCCCTCGTCTATGATCGTGATGGTATAAAATGTGATGCTTGCGATCGAAGGTCACTATGGGTATTCTTGCGGTGAATGCAAGTTTACGGTTCACGTGAACTGTGCGTTTCTGTTCAGGAAATACGAGAAATTCGATCACCCTGCACATGATGGACATTACCTTAAGCTTCTCACAACAGGAGCTCCTAATCACACCGATCAAAAGTGCCATATTTGTGGTAAAAACACTAAGCTCCTTCTTTTTCATTGTTCCACTTGTAACCTCAACTTGGATGTGGACTGTGTGGTTGAAGCCTTGTGTGCTCGAGCCCATCTGATTAAGCCTTGGCATCATCATCCTCTACGCATGGTTGATTTATCTAATACTATGAAATGTGATATATGTCACATGGGCAGCGAATATGGCTATTTTTGCGCCCGTTGTAGGTTGGTGATTCATAAGGGATGCGTCTCAACACTTGACTCACTAGAGATCACCCACACTTGTCATGTGAGACATACTATGAAGCTTCTCACTAATGGTGCTCCTGATTACACAGATCCAGAATGTCATATATGTGGAGCTTATACTGGCAATGTACTTTATCATTGTGATAAGTGTAAATTCAACTTGGATCTGTGTTGTGCGATTTATTATCCCCCACCAGTTGTTATGTCAGATCTAAAGATCCATGAGCATCCACTCACACTCATGCCAAGATTGATCTCTTTCGTTTGTGATGCTTGTGGGCTGAAAGGAGACCGTGCTCCTTATGTTTGTCTTCAATGTGATTTCATGATCATCCATAAAGAATGTGGTGCATTACCACATACCATTCACGTCAATCGCCATGATCATCGTGTTTCTTACACTTATCCTCTAGGTCCTGGGGAATGGAAGTGTGGCTTTTGTTGGGAAGAGATTGATTGGTCGTATGGGGCTTATTCTTGTTCCAAGTGTCCTGACTATGCTGTTCATCCAAAATGTGCAACAAGGGATGACGTGTGGGACGGGGAAGAGCTTGATGGGGTACCTGAAGAAGTTGAAGACATTGAGCCATTCAAAATAAATGAAGACAACACAATAACCCATTTCGCTCATGAACATAACTTGCGCCTCAAGAAAGACGACGTTGCTTTTGACGAGAGCATCTTGTGTAGCGCATGTGTTAGTCCCATCGGTTCTAACACATTCTACAAGTGTTCGGATTGTGATTTCATTCTTCATGAAACATGTGCTAATTTTCCGAAGAAGAAACGACATTTTCTAAGTCCAAAACCTCTCGCTCTACACACCAATTTATCTGACAACAAAGACTGCAATGCTTGTCGCCAAATTTGCTGCAAGGGTTTCGTGTATACTGATGAGTATAAGAGCTTCGATTTACTATGCATGTCAATCACACAGCCTTTTCTCCATGGATGTCATCCACATCCTTTGCTCTACATGAAAGTTGATTTTGATGATCCGGTGATAAGGACATGTCAGTGTTGCGGCATCCGTGCACAAGGGAACGTCCTAGGTTGCGTCAAATGCGATTTCTATTTGGATTTTCGTTGCGCCACTCTACCGTTAACAGTAAGACTTCACAGGTATGATGATCATGCACTCACTCTTTGTTACGATGGAAAGGCAAGCGACAAATGTTGGTGTGACGTTTGTGAAAGAAGAACAATTCCAAACACTTGGTTCTACACTTGTAAAGATTGTGGAGGTACGTTTCATGTTTTATGTGTAGTTGGAGACATCAAGTATGCAAAACCAGGAGCAAATTTTGGTGGCTCGATGGAAGTCTTGGCTAATAATAGATCTTCACGACCAATTTGCAGCGAATGTCATTGTCGTTGCCCAGGTCCCTATATTCTTCGGGAAATTGAGGACACAAACATACTCTTTTGTTCTAGTTATTGCAGGATACTTTTCCGCTCAAAGGATAATTACTTGTTTGGCTTCTTTTCGTATGGCATATGCCCTCCGTGGCTGTATGATTCAGATATTTTGAAAAATTTGTAATGTTTTGCTTTAGCTATGATTTTTAGTTTGGATATTCTACTATCATGTGTTAATTTTGAATATTTTGATTTCTTAGTTTTGATTTGAAATGAATTGATTTTTTTTTTTTTAAAGATGAGTATAAAAATGTAAAATTGGTAAGCAACTCAATCACCTGAAAGTTTCGTGGTTTAGAACAAAGTTTTGTATTTATGGGAGAACAAGGTGGTTGTCCCGCACCTTGTGCGGGTACAATATTTTTTAAATACAATTATTAATTAAAGATTTAAATAATATAAGTAGTACAACTTTTTATTGTATTCATCGTTTTTGTTTTCGCAAACTTCTTATTTTTGTAATCTTGAGGTGTCTTATTTTTATCTTCTCTTTCTTGTTCTTCTACGTAATATTCTTCATTTGTTTTGGAATTTTCTTCACATTCCATTATTTCTTCTTTCCTTTCTTTTTCCTCATGTTCGACTTTTCTTTTTCTTTTCTAAATTTTTCATCTTCTTTTTCACTGTTTTCTTTTCTTTTACTTATGTATCTATTATGTCTTGTTTGTGTCTTGTATATCACCTACCAATTCATTTCGATAGTTAAAATTTTCAATATTTTTGAATAGATTCTATCTTTATATAGTTGAAGTCTTTTAAAAATTTATTAGTTTTGTTATCTTTCAATTCTGGATTTTCTTTAGTTGTTTTAGTTTTTTTTTCTATTTGTGAATGTAATTTTGAAAGTAGATATAAATTTCAAATAAATGATTTTTTTATTATGAAATTCTTCTGTAATAATTCAAGTTTTTTTAAAATACACCAAAAACTAAACCCTACCCCATCAATATAAACCCTACACCCTAAACCCAAACCCACAGTGTAACACCACCCCCTAAATAACCCAAACACCACATTATTAATGATTAAGCAAATATTATGGATATTAAAAAAAAAAATCGTTATAGATTCGCCATTAGAATTAGGGTTTCATGAATATTAAGATGGTAATTAAAAGGATAGATGTTCATACCTTCTTTTGCTGGAGTTGAATATTTCTCGCTTGGGACCAAATCTGATCTTCTAGATTCCATTAGCTTGGAACTCACTGTTACAAAAGCGAGAGAAGAAGAAGTTAGAAGCGTATATGTAGATGATTGACAGTAGATAGAACTTAAATCAAAGTGAAACAATAAAGATACATGAGAAGAAGAAATATGAGACCTAAGAAGTAAGATTACGTATAGAAAGAAGATATGCAAATCGTAATGAGAATTGGGTTGATTTTGCTTGTAGCTATAACTATATATAAGAAAGAGTCGGCTAACAAACCTAGGTTTTCCAATTTTTAATTCTTTACAATTTTTTTAATTTCTTCCATATATGTGGCGCGAAAATATGTTAGTTATACGGTATATATCCAAAAATAATTTAGGAAGAAAGCAAAATTCGTTATCCATCGTCCAATAAAATAATTCGTTTTTAAATAAGATAATAAGCAAATTGAAAGATTTTTTCAAGATTTTCATTAAGGGTAGTTATGTAATTCCGAGGCTGAGAGTTAACGTGGTGCCTCCATTCACGAAAATTGATTTGCAAATACTAATATGATTGTGAATCTACCCCAAAAAAAAACTTAATCCTTGTCTTTTTACTCCTTTTTTACTTTTACAATTTTTGGTCAAGTTTACCTTTGAATGATCAAAAAAAACCTATCACCGAAGTCCCACCTATTCAAAAAATGGTGCCTGAACTATCTATATATATAAAACACAGTTGGGGTCTCTTCTGGGAGCGCCACGTCAGCAAACTCTCTTTTAAACAATACTTTTCCAATTCTCTTTTAAGACTAATTATTTATTACATCTATCACTTAATCATAATAGAATATGAAAATTCATTTTGTATAAGAAAATAGTTTATATATTGATCTAAATAAATTCTAATTTAATAATTTTAGTTTTATCAAATAGATTTTTATCAAATAGATTTAGCATATCCCTTTAAGGACATGACGGAAAGAAACGGAAAGAACGGGATGAGACTGGACAAAACGGGATGGAATAGTCTCAGACATGATGGGATTGCACGTGACGATACGGACATGGCGAATGGGACGGCAAAAAACGGATATGATAAAAAGAACAAAATGGGAGGAATGAAAAATGATGGTTCAAATTTTTTGCGTAAACTTAATTATATTTAATTTTCGGAAATTTTTTAGTAACCCTAATTATATTTGATTAATATGTGTATGACATTTTTAAAATAATAATAAATCATATAATTAAATTAAATTTGTGAAAAATAATAAAATCAACACAACAATTTCAATTCCCGCGCGAAGCGCGGTCACCCCTAGTTATTAATATGTTTTGTACTAATTTCGATGTCTAACGATAGTAGGATATGATATCTACAACTTATTTATACCTTTACGGCTTTACCAATAACAACAGAATTTGATATCTACCGAATATTATAAGTTCTACATGGTAGAATTTGCTTCATATATATTCTATAAATTACAGAATCTTCTCTTAACCGCAGATTTTGTGTTCTACGTGAAACATTGATTTCTACCATCTGTAGATTTTGTGTTCTACGTGAAACAGTTACTTCTACCATTTGTAGTATTAGTGTTCTACTAAAATCAAGTTTGCGTAAAATTTGTGTTTCTACTAAAACTTCTACTATTTAAAATCATTGTAATTTACCATTTGTAGAACTTGTCTTCTACTTTTTTTTTCTCCTCATGAAAATAAACCAACGACATCTTCTTCCTTCTTCCTTATTCATTCTTCCTCTACATATCTTCTTCCTCCTCTTTATACTACTTAATCCGTTCTCTTTTGTTTTTTTCTTGCCGCCTTCCGTTTTGATAGAAGTAGAGAAGAAGAAAACACCAAATCGAGGAAGATGTCAAGAAAAGGAAGATGTTCTTTCCATTCTTTTCAAAAAAAAAAAAAAAAAAAATACAATGATGTTTTTTATTTAAATGTTATCTAATTAATTTTGGTGATAAAAGTGGGCTAAAAAAAGATTAAGAGGAGAAGGACACTTTGAGAAAGACTAAGAGGACAAGAGAAGGCTTTTTTGGGGTAAATATTGCCAATTTTCTCTTTTTTCTTACAAAAAATCTCAAAATTAGAGACATTTACACGGACGACTTCATAACACTAAAGGAAATTCCTAATAAAAACCAGTATATTTTCACTTTAAATATATGAAAAAAATGAGATTAACCCAGAAAAAAGATTGAAAAAGTTTATGACTTTGTAAGTACATGAAAAAAACTAGTGAAAGAGAGTTTTTTTCTTGTTGACACCGAAAGACTCTGCAAGCTCGGTGAAACACTCCGACCCGGTTTTCCTTAGCCGTGGTCGCAGGGTCTCAGATTCAGCCCCTTGTTCCCTGCCGAACCTCTTGGCTAAAAGCCATTTCCTCGCATAAGCCTTTCCCAAGGCATGCTCGCCGGTCAAATCCGACCGTTTAATGCCCAGCGGACAGATCATACGGTCTTGGACCCTATTGCCTTAGTCTAAATCCAGTCTAAGGACTTACCGGTCAGATCATCTTTACCTTCAAATAGTTTACACGACTTCCTTAGTTCACAGATTGATCACAGACACGGTTCCAGTCATGCATCCTAGCATATTCCGTTCCATTCCTCTATACCATTCTACCTTAGATCTAAACAGTATTCGAAAACACCAGTACAGACTCGTGATCATACCTTGCCCATTCTGCCGATCTCGGTCCACCAATGATTCACGTTCGGGTTCAGTCCAAACAGTCCGGCTGAATGTTCATTGATCCACCACCCGCAATCTTACTCAGTCATTCAACCAACCATCCCCACTAAATAAGTATAGTTCGAAGGTGGCCTTCTGGCTCTCAGTAAGGCGAGGTTGTCCACTCTGGATCGCCTCTCGGTCCATTCCCGGTGCATATGATCTCTCTCTGATCTGCACCCTCATTTCTCTTCCAGTAGGTTCGAGATCTTCTCCGATCCGACCTTCCCAGTACGCTGTTGGTGATTCCATCGATCATTCTCTTTCCCTAGTCGATCATCTCCTTATCCGCATCGTCCAGTCATGATCATCCCGATCAGTTATATGGCCTGCTCGCATTACCATGTGATTGCCTTTCCTTCGATAGAACGGTTACCATACTCTGGTTCCCGATCCAAGTACCGAATACTCGATCACGGTCGAGCGAACACACGCTCCCAGTCGACATTCCTCTCGATGATCACTGTTCTCCGAACAGAAACCCGGTTTCACTTGATAACCGCTCATTCCCGTCGTACAGAACGTATTCTGTCTCGACAGAACGGTTTCCTTTACGGTGATACTCGTTCTCCGAGGTAACCGAGTCGACGGACTCTCGATCCCCACTGGATCATCGTATTAGACTATTGGTTTGATCCTCCCGATCAGATTCTCTCGATTCTTTTCTATTCTCTCTCGACAGAACTCACCATTGATCGATCATTCCCTGATCCGATCGTTCAGAACTCTCCATCGATCGATCATACCTTGATCCGATCGATTATGTATCGATAGAACAATGTTTTCCACTCAGTAACCGCTTTCTCTCTTGAACAGGATGTCTTCGTCTCCCCGACCGACTGGATGATCAGAAATGGTCATCTCTCGTGAAGATAATCTAGAAACCGTCCAGTAACCGCCGTTTAAGTGAAACGCGCACGTTTAATCCATCCAGTAACTGTTCCCCCGCATTCGTATACGCGCATGCGCGCCCTAGTTTGTTAATCGTTCCCGCTGAAATGACTTAGTCGATTATTATCGACCAGATAACAATTCCCTCGACTAAATCCAGCTATGTTCGGACTAGTAACCGTCATGTCCGAACACCGACCACACGTGTCTGAATTTCGACCAACTGCCTCGACCGCGGTATCCGTCTCAGTCAGTTTAGCTCGCCCTAGCTCAGAACTCACGGTACGTCCGGATCCTTTCCATTTTTTCAACCAGTTAACACTCTGCGTGCATTTTTCCAATCTTTTGGTCCGCCCAAGTTAGATCCTCGGAACGCAGGTGTTAATTAGGCCCAAACAGAAGCTGGACTTTGTGCGAAGAAATTTTTTATATTAAATTTAGTCATATTATTTGATAGTTTTTAAGACCCTTAAATACATAATTTTAGGAAATTGAGAACCCTTATATAATAAAAATAAGCTGAAAAAGTGGTAGAACTCAGTGATTTTGCACTGTGAACACACCCTAGGGCCGGGTCCTCACTCTAATATATTATTAGATAAAACCAAATGTGATGGCTTGAGAAACCATCCCAAATGGAGCAAAAATGTTTACATGGGAAAAAGAAAGATCTTGTGCTCAGCGTCTTTAGACAAGACATCTACACAGACATTTATGTTAGGTGACATAAAGCTAAAGAAAAACTCTAGAAAAGTGAGTATGTAAAATAAATTTTATGTAACTTTAAGACCATAAAATGCCATTCTTCTTCTTCGTTAATAAGCTTAATCAGTTAAATGCAGTCCAATTCAAACCTAATCCAGGTATATCCCAACTGTACAGTCGCTTTCATAGCCCACATACGAGCTTGAGTTCCGCATGTAGCGGTGAAGCAGAGGTTTAATGGGGTTTTTCGATAAAAGAAAAAAAAACAGAAAAAGATCTTTTAAATCTCTATTTTATGGTCTAGATCTGATGATCAGCTGCGTTTGATTATCCACAATAGACCATAAATATATAATTTTGGTGGAAAAGACTAAAACCAATGGCCCAATATATTATTTTGAGGTATAACCCAACAAAAGACTCGACAGAAAATGATAGAATTTAGGAATAGTTTTTAAATGAGGAAAAAAGTAGGTAAAAATCTCTCAAGAACCACCAAAGAACTAAAGAATAAAAGAAACTTTAATACTGATCAAATAAGATTGAAGTTTACAAGGAATTTATGGGGATTCGGGAGTTCGAAGAGCAAATAATTATGTTCAAAGTGTGTAGAATGAAAAGAAAGATGATCCTTGTTCCACTTGGAATTTGCACCTTTTGTAATTATTAGGCTAAGCCCGCGCAATGTGTGAGTTATGAGTCTTACAGATTTTGTCACTTATATTTAAATACCAATGTTTTAAAAACCATATCGGAGAGTGAACCGAAAAATCTAATGGATCATAAGTTAATTCGGTCAAACTGTTCGATCGGGTTCATATAATACATTATTATATATATAATAGATAGATATCATATATAGTAATAAATACTCTTACATTTTTAATTGTATCTTACTATATATACTCAAGAGAAATTGCAATGGATATACACCAATACTTTGGTAATTAAATGGAGCTTTCTGACAGCTTTTTAGTTGTTCTGTTCATATTAGAAAGTCACCAATACCCCTATAGGATGAGTTTCTTCTTTCGTTGGTGTAGCTGAACATAGAGGAGTGGGACCTACACAGCAGGCGAAATTATCAAGATTTCAATTGAATTTTTTTATTTAACTTTGTTTTCCTTTTTAATATGTAAAACTAAAATCCAGAAAATATACTAACACATCACACCATGTTAGCAAACATTACATAAACTTACTAACAAACACTATGTTATGTGAGTAACAAAGAACATAATACATTGTTAACAGATAAAATTTAATTCGATAACAAATAACACTCGTCTTATAGTGTATAATTTTTTTTTTTTTTTTTTGGATGAAATAGTGTATAAATTTTCAAAAATACACTTTTTCATAATTTTAATATATATGTTTGGGTTCACTAATCATAAACTAGAGTTTAGATTTTGGATTTAGGGTTTAGATTTAAAGGTTCAATGTTAGATTTTAGGGTTTTGGGTTTACACTTTTTCCTAATTTTAATATATATGTTTGGGTTCACTAATCATAAACTAGGGTTTAGATTTTGGATTTAGGGTTTAGATTTAAAGGGTTTACTGTTAGATTTTAGGATTTTGGGTTTAGGGTTTAGCAAAGAGAAAATAATACACCACCACATTGCTAACAAGTGTTTTGTTAACTCGCTAACAAATATTTTATAGTTTGCTAAAACTTATATGACACCTAGCTATAACTACTACATATTGTTGTCAACAAGTATTAAGTTATCTTATCAACAAATATTATATCCTTTTGCTAATAAGTTTGTAGTTACTTTACTAACAAAAAACCTTATTTTGCTAATAAACATCATGTTCTTTGCTAACAAACATCACTTATCTTGTTAACAAAGACTATGTTACCTTGCTAACAAAAGTCATGATATATTATTTACATTTTGTTGTTCATAAATTTGTTAGCAAGTAATGATTTTAATGTTAGCATGTAATTGTTTAAATGTTAACATATAATGATTTGAATGTTAACATGATTTCAATAGTTTAGTTAATAGGTAATGTTAGCAAGTAATTATTTAGATGTTAACAGTAATGATTTGAATGTTATATCATTTGTTGGTATTTGTTAACATCGTAATAATTTAAATGTTCTATAACTTTTTATAAAAAAATATATTTTCTTCTCTCAAAATCTTATTTAAATAAAATAAAGAATAAAAGATCTTATAATTTTTTACATGATGTCACTTCTTTTGTTTTATTCCATAGGAATAGATATGTATGTTTTTCCTATATGTATTTGTATGGATCTAATTAATAACTATTTTAATCATATATTTAATTGTGAGATTATCTATGTATATTGACTAAATTTACCCTATACTCAATTAATTAATTAACTAAAATCACAAAACCCTATCCTCCTAAACATGTCGCCACCGATCTCACAATCTCTTCTCTCTACTTCGTGTGTCAACCTTTTTCTGCAATTTAAAGTTTACTTCAAATCATTCTGCCATTTGTTAATGTTTCTCTATCAGTTTTTCTGTTAATTAGATCATTAGAGTCTCTGCATAGACGGATTCCCTGATGCACATTTTGAATTCCGTTTATGTATTCGTCTTCTAGTTTTCCGTCGGCGGCCATGGACGACGCGTTCATGGAGAAAAGTTGAAGCGGAAGAGAGGCTGGTCTTGGCTCTCTGTTTCTCGTTTCCACCTTTGAATAATACAGATCTCTCTTCCTCCGCCTTATCGGAATCAGTCAAGAGAGACGACGACGAATCAGCTCCTGTAATATAATGATGACTAGCCAACAAACCGACGCTTAATGGTAGTTCAAAGCGTCGGTTTGTTGGCTAGTCATCGACGGACGCCGTCTCGGACGGTGACGTTGGTCATATACAGCCTCAGGCTCCGTCTATTGTTATGATCGCGATTCTAATAATCCCGTTCGGTTTAAGGTATGCCGGAGTAGTAGTGTATTGTTCTCAATCGATTGCCGGATATACGCATTGGAATTTGTGCTGTTTGGATTCATCGATCTAATATCTTCAGCTTGTGCTTATAATCAATTTGTGTTTTTTCCTTAAAATTTCTGAGGAATGTGTTGTAAATTGGTTCAGGGTAATTCGATGAATCTATCGCACCGTCTTGCGTCGCCGAAGCTCAAGACGGCGAGGCTCAAAGTTTCGTCCCGCGACAGTATTCATTCCTCTGCCGTCGACATGCCTCGGTGCTCCGGTTCAGTACGCCGAGCAGCCGTTATATTCCTTTCCGCCATTTCCATCACATGCTTCCTCCTCTACAGATCCGCTGATTCTCTCAACACCGTCTCCGGCTCTTCTTCCTCGATTTTCTCTCGCATTTTGCCGTCCTACGATTCCTTCAAGTCTCTGGTTAGTGTGTCTCAAGCATGTACAAGCCGGGATTTTTCTTTCATGTGGGAGCTTCCCGAGTTCCACTTATGAGTCACGTGTGTGGAATAGGGAAGGCAAAAGACGTGGTTTAGTTTCTTTTAGGCTTTTTAGGTTTTTTTGTAAAATAAATATTTCCTCGTTTCAAATTAGTTGTCGTTTTGGCAAAATGTATTTGCAAATATTTGGACGTATCTAGACATGTTTTGCATTGCAGATACATCCAAATAATTGCAGATGCATTTTTTCAAAACGACAACTAATTTGAAACGGAGAGATTAATGTTTAAAAAATCTCTTTTTTTGGAATAAAAAACGCTGCCACGTGGCGGAAATCTGGAAAGACGCTGCAACGTAGCGGAATTCTCTTTTTAACAAATGCGAGATTTAGGTAATAAATCTTGGTCCAACAACAAAATGTCGTATTTTTGGAAAATATATTAACTTTGAGTATTCCCCAGGACTTTTCTTTTTTTTTGGTGTCCAAGACTTACAAAGACTTAAAGGTACACCAAACAATTTTCTAGAAAATATCAGTAAATAATTACATTTAATTAATTAATTCCGAAAACCAAGGATATATATATTTGCCCGAGAGCCCTGAGCCTTTTATTTCCATTTCACATTTTCACACCTACCAGCTTTTTCTTCAAGTCTTTTACTCTCTCAGCCGCCGATCTCCTCCATGGCTCCAATTGCAGTCGGCGATGTCATACCAGACGGAACCATCTTCTTCTTCGACGAGAATGATCAGCTCCAGACTGTCTCCGTCCACTCTCTCGCCGCCGGTAAGAAAGTCATCCTCTTCGGTGTCCCTGGTGCTTTCACTCCCACTTGCAGGTATACAAATCTCACCAAACTTCTCCGAAATTAATTACAATAGATCTTTGTTCAAGGGTTTGATTCAAGTTGGAGAATTGTTATTGATTTCTGAAATTGTTCAAGCCCGATACTCAGGATTTTTCCGAAATTCGCTCTGAAATTGAGATAATTTTCAATTTAGTTCTCGAATTAATTACGTTGTTACTCAAGAATTGTGGAAGTTTTGGTTTTGATGTTAGGCTGACGAATCAGTCCATTTGTGAATTGTGAATCTTGTTATATATTTCTTGAATTAGCACTGAAGCATGTACATTGATTCATTCGTTGATGGTAAAGATGATAAATCCTTTTTTACGATTTTATAAATATTGATTTGATTTTGGGTTTTCTTTTTCTCCTGAATTTAGCATCAAGCATTTAACATTGATTCATTCATTGATGATGCTAAACATGATGAATAATGATTTGATTTTGTGTTTTTTTGTTTCTTCTCCTGAATTCAGCATGAAGCATGTGCCTGGATTCATTGAGAAAGCAGAGGAGCTGAAATCAAAGGGTGTTGATGAGATCATTTGCTTTAGCGGTGAGTATGACTTTGTATAATCTTCTGAAATTAGATCAATGCATTAATATGAGATTGTGACACAATTGTTGGATTCTGTTTATGTTTTGTTGTAGTGAACGATCCATTTGTGATGAAGGCATGGGGAAAGACATACCCAGAGAACAAGCATGTGAAGTTTGTGGCAGATGGTTCAGGTGAATACACACATCTTCTTGGACTTGAGCTTGATTTGAAGGACAAGGGTCTTGGTGTTAGGTCAAGGAGGTTTGCTCTGTTGATCGATAACCTCAAGGTGACCGTCGCTAACGTCGAGTCCGGTGGCGAGTTCACAGTTTCGAGCGCCGATGATATCATCAAGTCTCTTTGAGAAAACTTTTATCATTTGAGCTTTGTTGTATCGTAAAACCGCTGTATGAGAAAGTAGAGGATTTCTAGCCTTATTTCAGACAAGAAGTAGGCTTAATAAAGCGGTTTGGTGACTTTGGTTTTTCCTATGTTGCGTAATAATTATAAAGTATTGATTCAAATTTTGACTAATTCACGTGAAGATGCATACCTAAAATTTGGGTACCACAGTTTTTCAGTGTTTCAGTGCCACTTTTCTTTGCAATCTCAATATGATATCTTTTTTGTCGATATCTCGAAAACTTAATAACTTTCAGTAAGACTCAGGATATAATGTATCTAACACTTAAAATTTTGTTCTCCTTAGTAATGAAAAACTTGCTCTACTCTAGACAAATATCTCTATCTAAAATCTCAAATTGTGGTAACATTTGGACAACAAAATTTATAAAATATAAAAAACATTTTATATTGAACATAGCTAATATATAACATAAAATCCTTTTTAACGAACTTTTTATCAAAAAGTATATTATACCATACTAAAAAAACAATTAAGAGCTTGTTATTCTTCTCTTCTACACGAAGACATTATCATCAATTTGAGTTTCTTTGGCTCAGGTGATTCTTCAGGATCAAGGAGAGAGTCAGGAACATCAAGATAAATATCATCACTTAAGCATGTCCATGGCATCACAACAAGCCAAAAATAAAAATGCAGAGACAAACTCCACGTTCAGGCGTCTGAATTCACGTTCAAGTTTTTTAATACGACTGGATGATGCAACATTCGCTTCATGGAATGACGCATATCCAGTTGGACGGATCTGATGGTTTAACATCACAAGCTATTGTTTTGTTTAGCCACAAAGAGGATTTGTATCAACTCCGAGTATGATGTGAATTTTCTTGGCCACTATTGTTGCTGCATGATTACATTTTCAGAATGAAATGTTGAGAGAGTTTTTTCTGGCATATCAAATTCACTGATATCCTCTTTACACAACTTTATCCTAGAGTTGTTTCCATACATATTGAAATTATATTCAGCCACACATTTATAGTCCTCAAACCGGAGGTTCAACCACTTTTATTTCGCTTTTGGTAAGTTCAAGTACTATTTTTCATGATCAAACTGATTTTTAAGCGAGTGTCATAGATCTGCAAGATCTTCTTTGTTAGGTATTCATGTTTTAAAATATGGTGACGTAAAAAGATAATGGTTTTCGCCTTTTCTTCATCTCATGTCCTTTCAAACTTATCGATGGTGCTCAAGAGACCATTTTCTTTTAGGTGCAACTTTACACTTATCGTCCAAGACAAATAGTTATTTCCACTAATGTCAATGGCGGAGATCTTGAGCGTTGTCTAATTCGATATGATAACTGAATAACAAAAAACTTAAAGTTTGGAAGACTTAAAAAATTTAAACAGAATTTAAATACATAAATATAAATAATTTAAATTAAATAGCAGACATTTAAATAACTGAATATAAACAGCAAAATTTAAAGACAAAATTTTAAATCAGGAAAAGACATAGTCATTAACTCCACTATAAGGAGGAGGAGTTTAGAGCATCCTTATTGCAAAGTCAAGGCAGAGGTTCCTAGAAAAAAAAAATGTCATGACATGAATTTCTAGTGTTCAATCTGGTAAAACTAAACCAAACCGAAATAGGTCATATGGTTTGGATTTAGATATACCGTATAAACCGTATGTATGCAATTATGTAAACTGTGGATATTGGTATGGTTTGGATATTTACCGGATAAATCGCAAAAACCAAAAAAATCGAATAATTCTATATTTTAATAGAATAATATACTCTTTCTGTTTCATATTAAGTGTCGTTTTAGAGTTTGATTTTTGTTTCATTATAAGTGTCGTTTTACATTTTAAATGCAAAATTTTAATATAATTTTCAGATTTAACCCCATTCATTTATTGAATTAACAAAGAAATTAAATTTATAATGTATTAATTAGGGGTATTATAGAAATTTTAACATGTTTTCTTAATATGTGTAAGAAAACCTTAAACGACACTTATTATGAAACGGAGGAAATATAATATACACATATGATATATAACAATATAAGTTTAGAGTTATCTTATAAAGGATTATAGATCATTAATTAACAAAAATTGAATTTAAATTTAGCTGTTTGATTTTTTTTTTTTTTTGAGTTTAACCTTTTGATTAAGACAAAAATTGAAAAACTTGCATAATGGAATAATAATATAAAATAAAAAGTAAAAATAAATCAAAACCGGGATTATTCGAACCAAAATATCCAAACCAAAAAATTGATAACCAAAATTATTCAAACCGATCCAAACCGAAATAAGTATGGTTCCAATATGGTAGTTATTTTTTATTAAACGAATACCGAACCAATATCTGGATTGAACAGCCCTATGAATTTCTGGGTGCATCGCTTCTCCGAGAAATAGTTATGGAATCGACTCTAAAGGTGAGTTCGACACATGTCGTCACACAATTTATCAATTTTTTTCCTTTCGAAAATCATTTTTATTACTAGGTTTTTGACCCGCGCACGCGCGGGTCTGGTCTAATAATTTTTTAAACTATTAATTTTTTTTTTACTAACACTTCACAATTTTTTAATTTTTGCTGTCTGTCTTTTTTATAAACTTTTCTTTGTAATATAATTTTTAATTATTTTTTACTTAACCAATTTAATAATTTTATAATTAGTCTAATACATATTTTAGTTGTTAATTTCCTTTTTAATTTTATTTATTAGTTTAGCTTTTTCAGCTCTGAGTTTATGATTTATACTTAATTTTTTTTTTGTTGGTTAATTATTTTGCATTCAATTCCATTTAATAAATTCATCTCTTTATTTTTAAATAACTGTTTTGATAGTTAAAAAATCTCATATATTCCAAACTTTTCTTTTTCATATCCTGTTTAATTAACAACCGCGTTTCCGATTCCCGGTTCCATTGTTTTGGTTTGTTACAGTTCAGTTTTGCTATCACATTGAAATTAGAAATGATTCGTTGTCTTTCTTCTTTGACCGACAACAAAATCGAACAATGTTTCTACCTTATTCCCACCGGAACATTGTTAATCTCATCATCGAGATCCCTCTTCTTTGTTTCTCATCTTGGATATTTGCCTTAATTCCTCTGAGCGATTGAGACCTGTCAAAACTAATTAGATCAATTGATTGACGGAACAGTTTCTGCTTTAATCCCTCTTCCGAGACTTTATTTCTCTGTTTCTTCTACTGATTCTCTCAAGCTAATCACTTCGTGAAAGGTTTGAATTTTCCTTATTTTGAAGCCAGTTTTGTTGATGTTGAGATTATGTGTTTAGCGTTTAGTCTATTTCTTCCGATCCAAATTTGTGATAAATCTATTACTTTAGGTGATGCCAACTGCTCCGCCAAGTTTTAGAGACTCAGAGATGTCTAGTTTTTCAAAATTGCCGCCTTTTGATGAACGTTTTGGGGTAAAGCTAAGGACTTTGCCTCTATCATGAGCGAGTTTTCTTTTATCAATTTCCGAGTACTTGTCGAGTTACTTGTTTCTCACCCAAGTGAAGGTTTATTATCTAATTTATGATTTTGTTCTTTTCTTTTTTGTGTTGACTAAGTATTTGCGAGTTCTTTAGTTGTCTAAAGCTTCTTTTTTTATATATATTTGGTAGATTAAATTGCCTCTTTATCTTTAAAAAGTCCCTCAAATCACCAAAGTTCCATGCTTTTTAAAAGATGGTGATGTCTACTTGCAATTCATAATTGATGTGTTTAGCATTGATGATACCTTGGAAGCTAATAATTGGTGATTAATGTTTGTGTCGTTACCTTTTGATCAATTAGAAGCAGTTCATATCCTATAGGCAGACCTCCATTTTTAGGGTTTCTTGCCTCCAGAAGTGGATGACTCTAGCAAGCAGCTCTTTCTTAGTAAATCCTCTAGTGAGTTTAGCGAAAACAAAAGGAGACCGTAACTGATCAGAAACAGAAAAGCTGGAAGAAGACATACTTATTTTAATAAATGCTCTCTCTCTAAGAATATGGTTGTCTTTAGAACTCGTGTATGTGTATTCTAAAGTTTAGAGGACTATTTATAGCCAATGCCAAACATTAAAATAGCTAAATTGTTAATTTCTTAATTTAGTTAGTTTACCTTTTTCAACATTGAGTTTCCAGTTTATTCATAATTTCTTTTTTTCTTTTTTTGTTCTTTTTGTTAGTTTAACTTTTTTTATGTTGAATTTCCATAAACTATTAAAAATAATGGATTAAGGTAATTTATGCCATAATTAAGTATTAAAATTTACAATAGTACAATTTCTATTCTTTAATACGATATGTACGATAATGTAATTTTTCTTAAAAACTTATTTAATTTTCGATTTTAAAATTAAAATGCTGATTTGGCAAAATTTAATTGGTTTCTTAAAAGCTGATGTGGACGCTCTTAGAGGCTTATAGCCTCAACTTTTATATAGTATAGATTAATAAAGAACCCATGTGAGAGTTCACCAGTACGGATGTCCTTATCGTTAACTCCGAAAAGAGAATTTACCTATCATTTCATATATATGTTTTGGGAATATATATTTTATTGTGTAATCATTTGGTCAGAGTAAAGAGAGCCTAATATCCTACATAAGATATGATTATTTGATTGTGGAGGCAGAATCTATTATGACAATCAACTCAAAATAGGCGTAATTTAACATCTGGACATAATAGACAAATAATATAATTAAAATATATTTTTTAAAAAGTAAGTATAATTAGATTTTATATTTTCGGTATAGATGTGAACAGGTCTATAGACAATTATGCTTATAAAATATTAAATAAAATATGAGATTTTTGTCTTAAAAAAGAAACCAAAAAGTAAAAAAGAGAGAGATATTATGGAGATCATAATAAGAAAGAGCATAGGAAAATCACTTATTTGATAGATTGTGTCCAGTATATAGTGATCCTTTTATATAATATATAGAGCCAAAATATAAGGCTGAATGACACGTTGTGTAAAGTTACTTCGAATAAAAGGATAAATATCAAGTGATGAGTCAGCATCTCATTTGTCTTTATCCCAACATTTTGACTTTCAAAGACTTGAAGGTACACCAAACAAAATCGTCAAAATATTTTAAGAAAATCAGTATATATATGTCTGAAAGCCCTACATTTTTATTTCACACAACCATTTTTCTCACCACCAACTTTTTCTTCTAAGTCTTTTACTTTCTCAGCCGCCGATCTCCTCCATGGCTCCGATTGCTGTCGCCGATGTTATACCAAACGGAACCATCTCCTTCTTCGACGAGAATGATCAGCTCCAGACTGTTTCCGTCCACTCTCTCGCCGCCGGTAAGAAGGTCATCCTCTTCGGTGTCCCTGGTGCTTTCACTCCCACATGCAGGTATAAAAATCTCACCAAACTTTTCCCAAATTGATGTCAATAGATCTGTGTTCAAGGGTTTGATTCAAGTTGGAAAATTGTTATTGATTTCTGTTTTCTTGTCCAATATACTAAAATTGAGATAGGTTTTCAGGTTAATCCTCCAATGAATTAGGTTGTTACTAAAGAATTGTGAATTGTTAATTGTGAATCTTTGTGATAGTGTTTCTTGAATTAGCGTTGAATCATGTACATTGATTCATTCGTTGATGTTAAAGATGATGAGTCTTGATTGGATTTTGTGTTTTTTTGTTCTTTTTCCTGAATTTAGCATGCAGCATGTGCCTGGATTCATTGAGAAAGCAGAGGAGCTGAAATCAAAGGGTGTTGATGAGATCATTTGCGTTAGCGGTGAGTATAATTATTCTTAAGATTGTGACAGAAAACTCTGAACAATTTTTGTATATTGCTTACACCATTGTTTGATTCTGTTTTGTTTTTTGTTGTAGTGAACGATCCATTTGTGATGAAGGCATGGGGAAAGACATACCCAGAGAACAAGCATGTGAAGTTTGTGGCAGATGGTTCAGGTGAATACACACATCTTCTTGGACTTGAGCTTGATTTGAAGGACAAGGGTCTTGGTGTTAGGTCAAGGAGGTTTGCTCTGTTGATCGATAACCTCAAGGTGACTGTCGCTAACGTCGAGTCCGGTGGCGAGTTCACAGTTTCGAGCGCCGATGATATCATCAAGTCTCTTTGAGAAAACTTTTATTTTTTGAGCTTTGTTGTATTGTAGAACCGCTGTATGATAAAGTAGAGGGGATTCTAGCCTTATTTCAGACAAGAAGTAGGCTTAATAAAGGGAGCTTAGTGACTTGGTTTTTCCTATGTTGCGTAATAAAAATAAACTATTGGTTTTATACTTTTATGTTTTTTTTTTTTTTCTTTTCTTTTTTTTTGCCTTTGATTCAAATTTTAACTAATTAACGTGAAGATGAATACAAAAAAATTTGGGCTACCGAAAACTTTGGTTTGGTTGTTATGCTTTTTTATTACTTGACATTAGGTTTGTGTTTTCGTCTGTTCCTAACGGGAATGTTTAGACTAGGCCTAGGACTTTTACTGGAAACCCATATCCGAACCAAAATTTGAAATTATTTGATCAGTTTCTAAGTCTCTAATACCCGATCGGTTTTATCCCAAAACCTGGCCAAAAAAAACAATCCGAACCTGGCCAAACCTGAAAAAAAAAAAATCCGTAATGGCTTTGTGCATCGTTTCCACAGGTTGAAAGAGACGTTCTTCGAAGATCAAGGTGTTTCGAGCTTTCCAAATAGCCCAACATATCCAGGGAAAGAGAGACCCTGATCCTGCGCCTATCGGTGGGAGGCAAATCCAAGTTTTGGATGTAGTTAGGGCTGCTGAGAAGGATTGAAGTAGGTTTGGGTTTGGGTTAATGGAGAAGGGAGCCAGTTTCCAAACTGCTGTAGCATAGGGACAGTGGAGGAACAAGTGTTCCGTTGTCTCAAGATCGCCACAATGGATGCAACAAGCCGTGTCCATCAAGCCCCGGTTGAGGAGATTTCCGCCAACAGGTAAAGCCTCCTGGAGTGTTTTCCACAAAAACACCTTCATTTTTGGAGAGAACTTTCCGTTCCAGACTTCTGTCATCCAATTAAATGGTTCGTGCAGGTTAAGGGGGTCAAGAGGGTTTTCCTGCAAGGCCATAGCTGAATGGTAACCAGTCTTGACCGAGTAAACGCCGGACTTAGTGGAGAGCCAAATGAAGGAGTCAGTGGCGCCTTTCTTGCTGGGTTTGATTGCTAGGATTTGCTTCATATGGAGAGGTAAGATTTCTTTTATACTTTCCCGATTCCAGTCGCCGGTTTGGTTGTTAAGCAGGTCTGAAACCTTCAAATCTTTGTGCAGAAGGTTGGGTGGACCTAGGGGTTGAGATGGTTGATCTAGTGAGAGTCACGGGTCATACCACACTGAAGTATCCGTTCCATCACCGATGACCCGTCCCAGGCTGCTTTTAAGGAGATCTCTCCCAATGAGAATCCCTCTCCAACCGTGGGAGGTGGAGTTCGTGGAAATTAGTATTAAAGAAGTGAGAAAGATAAAAAAAAAAAAAAAAACACAAAATGTAAATACACAAACAGATTCACGTGGTTCACCAACAAATGTGTTATAGCTATTATCCACGGCAAAAGAAGGCCGAGAAACGTTATACTGAGTAAAAGCTTGTGAGAGTTTCACATGCTTCTGTCTTTCAGATTTACCAACTAGGATTGACTGTGGACAGTCAACATGATTTTGTTTTCTTCATGTTTTGTAACGATTCTCTGGTAGGTTCTATGTGCTATTCTCAAAAATAGAAACAACTAACAAGTAAAGATCCCAAGAAAATAGAGTGAAGAAATAAAGAAAGTCATGTAGTTTTATACTCACTGAGTTGTCTAATAAGTGATGTTTTTTACATGATTTTTTTTTTTTCCACAAGTAAGTGATGTTCTCACAAATCAATATAAAAGTTCATTTTATTTTTGTTGTTTCGGTTGTTTGAATTCTGGTAATTGTTTTGGGATTTGTGATAAAACATGCTCCTTAAACAAATAAAATGTAAATGACTTCTTAATGAGTGCAAAAACCTTAAAGAAGAGAGGGAGTAGAAACTAAAAATGTCACTGAAAAAGAAGAGAAAGAAAAAGACATAGTAGAGCATTGGCTTTACAAAGAACACACGAGACTCTCCATGTGATTTGGGAAAACAACCGAGTGATTTGGGAAAACAACCGAGTGGCCTATATCTCTACCTTTACTAAGTCCATAACGTCGTAGAAATTCATCCCCAAAAATTCCTTCGAACAAGGCTTCTCTAATACTGTTTCTCCTCGGATCAAAATATAGAATATACAACGATTCAGACGAAACGTATGATGTTGCAAAGATAAGCTCACCAACGGCAGTAACACCATGGAATCGTAGAAAACTCCTCCCTTCTCTTTTATCTCTATGAGAAGGTACATGAAGAGTTTTACGCATCCATTCATGTCCATCTGCATCTTTCAAAATATATAAATCAACACTATCACTCGTAATGTTACTAGGAATAACTAAAGCTAGGCTTCCTTCATATGGTAGCAAAAGTTCAATCGGAAAATAACTATACTTAGGTATTTTTATCCGATTGAATTTTTCGGACCTAACATGGAAGCTCACTATAAAAATTTCAAAATCATCACCAGGAGTACTACCCAAAAAAGCTGAATAATAAAGAATTCCATTGATGCATCTCCCACCTCCTCCAAATGGGGAATCCGAAGTGATACCTTTGGTAATGGTTCTCCATTTTTCTTGAGTTCCCAATGTAAGAACCTTAGCATGTCCGGTGGTATTTTCTAACTGCAGTACTTTGTGTTTACTCTCCAATGGGTCATAACCTAGAAGATACATACGTTCGCAGCTTGTTTTGGGTTTTGGCAATTTTAAAAATCGTCTCATGGATGGGTTCCATATTACGAGTCCGTCTAATAAAACCAAGCCATGGACGCACTCGGATAAAGGAACGCTCTTATAATCTTGAGGGTTTGTCATCTGATAACTTTCAACCTCAGGAGGATAAAAGCTGTCTTCTTGAGGAATAGAGAAAACGAATCGCTTGGATCCTGCTAAGAAGGTCAGGAGAATACGCGGTGGCCGTTCAGAGGAACGAGTAGCGAACAACTTTATGAAACTCTGGTGTTTGGTGTAGGAAGACCACAGCTTTGACACACAGAGATGTCTCACTATCGATTTCGCAGGAAGTCTTGAGAGTATCTCCCAGATTAGATCAAGAGGAATGTGGTTTATTTGAGGCCTATCATCATCATCATCGTGTGTTATTGCTGTCTGGATCTTTCTCCTCTTCTCTTGGTGTTCATTCATGCGCCGTTTGATCAACAAGGATCTTAACCACTCGTAGAGAAATACTAATCTCAAACTAGCCGCTCAACTTTAACCCTAATTCTTCTCTTTATACTATAATATAAATCAATATACTTTAACCCTAATCTCTATAAATTAATTAATACTCTATAAATTAATAATCACATTTTGTTTAGTCAGGGATTTTATACCAAAAAGAAAAAAACGAGAAAGCTCAAAACAAAAAAAATATATATTCGAAGCTTTCAAATCTCAAGATAGCATGGTAGGCTAAGGTTGATGGATTAGAAATCAAGGAAACCAATTTTCAGACTGTTTCACAAAAACAAAAGGCTCAAAATGAGTTTCAAGCTTAAATAAATAGAATCCATAAGTACTTCCTCAAATAGATAAACCAAATACACAAACTCTCAACCAACCCAAGTCCTCGCACTTACCTCTTTATTACACGACAACACATTCCAAACACAAAGACAACAACACTTCACATCAACACACACCATTCATCTTCTTTCTATCCTTCACAAACTTCCTCCACCCAACAATTACTTCCATCAGCATCTCTCTCTCCACCTTCTTCCCTTTCACATTTCCAAAATCTTCTGCTCCCATCTTCTTGGATATCTTGGAAGGCAAGGTATCTAGCTCATGAAGAACCTTTACAATATCAGCAACAAGTCTCTCTGCCAAAGTTCTTGAGAAATCTTCCCTAATGACAACACGCAGAACCGTGATGTGTTGCGCATCCGCAGGCATAGTGTAAGCTGGGACGATCCAGCCAAAACGACGTAGCATCTCAGAGATCTCGAACTCGTTGTGGAAACTATGGTCCTTGAGAGAGAAGGCTACGACTGGTACTCCTTGGTCCTTTGAGACTATCTTGAAACGATCTGTTTTCTCTATGCCTTCTTTGAGAACCATCATGTTCTCTATGCAGTTCTCCATCACATTCTTGTAGCCCTATTAAAAAAATGCAACACACATCCAATTACACATCAGGCCTATACATGCCAAGAATTTGAAAAGAAAAAAAAAAGTTTCTCGATACTCACCTCGAACCCAAGACGAATGAGCTGGTAATATTGAGCAATAATTTGGCTTGATCCTACGAACAACCAAAAACATTTATCTATCTATATAACCGTCCAAAAATATAATCATAACTCAACTACACAAAACATGAAATTACCAAGAAATGAAAGATATATACACATACCCTTGGAGAAATTCAGAGTGAAAGTAGGTTGATCAGCACCAAGATAGTTAATATGAAAGATAAGCTCATCAGGCAAATCCTCTTGTGCCCTCCACACAACCCAACCAATACCAGCATAGACCAGACCATACTTATGACCACTCACATTAATACTCTTCACCAAAGGAAGCCTAAAGTCCCATTCCAAATCAGGATAGATAAACGGAGCTATGAAGCCACCACTTGCTGCGTCAACATGGATCGGTGTGTTCCAACCAGTCTCTTCGTTTTTCTTGACAAGCAAGTCGTTAAGACGCTTGACGTCTTCGAACTCACCGTTGAGTGTAGAACCAAGAATGGCAGCGACACAGATTGTGTTCTCGTCTACCATTTCTGCTGCTTTGTCTGGATCCATCACGTAGTAACCTTCACTTAGCTTCACTTCTTTAAGTTCTACCTCGAAGTAACGAGCAAATTTCTCCCAGCATACCTGAAAGTATTAATTCTTCTAGTTATAAGCTTTTATTCACTCTAACGAACCCAAACTTAAACTTCATTTGAAAATAATGATTTTTTTTAATTAAAAACCATATCATATCAGTTCCTACTAGATTCAATTATTACAACACAAAAAAAAAACGAAAACATTGCTGAATACTACTTAAGCATTTTGTAAAATTTTAACTATCAAAACTGAATTCTCGATACAAAGTTACAAACAGAATAATCAAGGTATAAAATGTATGAACAAATGTTGGATTTGACAATTGATCCTTTAAAAAATAAAATCTACATAATACATGGAAAATGTATTTCAGAATATAATACTTTTCAAGATATTTTTAGGTAGTATGCTAACTAAGTAACTATTATGCTTTTCACCATTTTATTTCATAAAACGGTTAAATAGTGAGATGAAGATATATATACTCACTTGAACATTGGCTCCAGTGACAATGTTGGGTTTGTCATAGGGTTTACCCTCGGCTTTGCGCTTGTTCTGCCAATTCCTCTTGAAGGCCAGTCCAGCTAACATGATGGCTTCCGAAGATCCAACCGTCCCTACTCCCACCGCGGTCTCAGTTTCCTCGAGCGGGGCATTGAACAGCCGAGCTATCATGTTTACACATCGGTTCTGTTTTTTTTCAAAAAAAAAAAAAACGAAGAAGAAATCAGAATTGTAACTATTACGAGCACAAAGTTTTATAGCCAACAACAATAATCACTCATTCACTAGTTCTTCACTTTGAATTCTGAAAATGTTTCATGCAACAGATTATAAGACTAGCATAGGTCCAATGATCAACTTCGACGTATGACAAATGAATTTCAATTTAGATAATAATTTCTATATACTCAACAGTGTTATTTATGGTTGTCAAATGTTCTCTCTTTATTAGCTCATTTTGGTGAAATTATTCAAATTCTTAACTATATGAAAAGCCTCAATAATCCATGACTTATGAGCATTATCTAATACAACAATAGAAAATAAGACAGTTGGTGACATTTCTTATCAGAAACAGAAAGAGTAGGACGAATCTAGGTTTAGTGATTATTAACTTAGCTAAACGATAAGCAATTTAGTAATTTGAAATATATTTATATATAGTATTGTTAATGGGCACAACTACATATGTAATATTCGCGTTAAAGTATTCTATGATATTTTACTGTGATCTTATTCACACTTTTTACCCCCGAAAAAAAGATCGTGTTCACACTATTACTAATGGCACACGGTAATGTCATCATCCTTGTCTATTACTAAAGGCACACGGTAATGTCATCACCCTTGTCTATTTAAGAACAAACTGAGAACAAACTTAATGGTGAAACTGTTCCAAGTTTCCTATGAAAGATTTAATGTGACATTGACTTCGCCAACACAAGATTTTAGTCATTTTACTGGTGAGTAGGCTCCTCCTACGTTACATCACAACTGCTTACATACGTTTTGTAAAAATAAATTTTACTTTTATTTTTAATTTTCTCCAATCTTCTATTTCATTTTGTCGTTTATGTTTTTCTTTTTGTCAACTATATTCACTACGTCCTTCAAAGCATTCCCGCACACTATGTCCCTTTTCAACCCATACTATACTCGAATCAAATTATCCACCCAATGAGAAATTTTTTGAGAAGATTTTGTTTATTGCTTTTTAATGGATAAATAAAAAAATTGAGTGGACCAATCAAAACCAAAAGAAATTGTGTGGTGATCTGTCAAACAGTGAGAGGTTGCCGACAAAAGTTTGTTTTTCGGCTTCTCAATTATTATGCTTAGCCATCATTTTCTCCCATACTTTTGAATGTCGACCAAAAATAGCTAACCCCATTGGTCATATTTCTTGATTAAGAAAAAAAGGACTAAAAGCATAAATAATGTAAGTTTGGCTTCTTCTATAGTGTCAAACTGTCAACGCAAAGTAATAAATGGAGGAATGGACTAATACTCAACCGTGAATTATCCCAAAAAAAAAGAAAAGAAAACCATTTTTCCATCTTCCACCACATATAATTAAGTCAATATTCATTTTTCTCTTCCTCTCTAACCCTTTCAATCCAATTTTTTTACTTTTTCAATATCTATTTTATTTTTATTTTATTTTTATTTATTTATATTTCTTAAAATTTAAATTCCACTATTTAACAAGTAATAAATGGAGGAATGGACTAATACTCAACCGTGAATTATCCCAAAAAAAAAGAAAAGAAAACCATTTTTCCATCTTCCACCACATATAATTAAGTCAATATTCATTTTTCTCTTCCTCTCTAACCCTTTCAATCCAATTTTTTTACTTTTTCAATATCTATTTTATTTTTATTTTATTTTTATTTATTTATATTTCTTAAAATTTAAATTCCACTATTTAGCACTTTAGCCTAGGACTAATTTAAGTTGATTATGTAAACAAATAAAAATTCATAATCAGTCAAGAAGTTCTTTTTCTTTTTTTTTTTCTTTTTTTGACAACCAGTCAAGAAGTTTTTTTCTCCTTGTTTTTAAGTGTTTTGAACGGATCTTAAAATTATATAAAGCTTTTTTTTATCATAAAAAATCATATATTTTGTTTAAACCATTCCATAACCGCAATTGCAGCCATTCCAAACTTAATTAGAATTATATTTTCAATTTGGTTTATATAATACTAGAAACTAAAACGGGCTGATCTAGCACACCACTTAATAATCTAAAGAGAGAGATCGAAAGACCTGGAACTCGGTGGTGACAGGGTACTCGTCCATGTCGACGTAGTTCTTGTTGATAGAGTCCATAATGAGTTTGTCACACTCTGGCTCCATCCATGTCGTCACAAACGAAGCAAGATTCAGCCTCGGGTTACCATCAAGCATCAGCTCATCTTTTATGATCTGATAAGCAGCATCCTTCGGTATCGAATTCTCACCAATCTCATACCTTTAAATCAATTTATTTTCATCATTAATCAACCACAAAAAAAAAACATTAACAATAAGGAATAAAAGAAACGAAAAACTTTTTTTCTTCATTACTTGGGAAGTGCAGTACGAACATAGCGAGATCCGAACGTCGAGCAAACATTTTCGTTACTCTCCGTCACCGTTCGAGACAGAACCATATTTCTTGATTTTTTTGGTGGTGAGAGAGGAGAAGAGATGATGAAGAAGAAGAAGAATGTGAAGAGACGAGGATACGTATATATTGACCCTACATTTGCTGTCTTCTTTCCTTTTCAGTAATTTTTGTATTTTACTTTAATTCGACAACGATGTTCACTTGTAAAATATCTACAAGAAAATGATCATTGATACCCATTCAATAATTACATTACCTATACCCATACATGCTCGTACCGATATTTTAAGAAAAATAAAATTACATACATCCAAAAATTAGTAATAACGTTACCAATCCTTTATAAAAATTAATCGCACCACCAACAAAATTATATTTTCACAACCATTACCATTTAAATTTTGTTTTGTAATGTGTTTTTGTAGAAACTTTCTTTTTTTTTTTTTTTTTTACAACAGCCTAAATTCCTACAACGGTTCGGGGAGCGAAACCGGTGGAACTGAGTTGATATAATACACATCGTAAGGCTGATCTCAGCACTCTGTGCTAGCTTGTCTGCCTTTGTGTTCTTCGTTCTTGGGATATGGGTTAGAGAGAACGTCTGGAATTGCCTTCTGAGCTTCTCAACCTCGTCAAGTAGGTTTGCAAACGCCGACCACTCTTTCGGTCTGGCCACCATCTTAATCAGATCTGCACAATCGTTTGAAAATTCATCCGCCGTTTATTATGGACTAGCATACACTGCATATCCCATGTTAGAGCTTCCAGCTCTGTCTGTAAAGGTGATAACCCCCGTCTATGATTACAAGCACCAAACAAAACTGACCCCAAATCTGGGTCAAAATTACACCAGCCTAGTCCCGCCCGACATTCAGTTTCCTTCCACGCCCCATCTACTTGACACCATTCCCCCACTAAAATGGATTCCGAGGGGGAGACCGTGCTCCCTGGTTCCCTCACTTCAGCCGTCTGGGCAGTTGCCCATGCACGAGCTTCAGTTATTGCCGATTCGATGACATCCCTAGGATCCTGATCTTCATTCGAGAATACCTTATAGTTCCGCGCTTTCCAAACAAACCATAATAACCATGGATAAATCAACATATTCTCATTATCTGGAAGATTCGAGAATAAATGTGCCATATTTGAGAACAGAGATGCCGTAGGAAAAACCGATGGGGGCGTAGGAATAGGAGACAATGCCCAGGCCTGTCTGGCTGGTGGGCATTCAAAAAGCATATGATTTATTGTCTCATCCGCCATCCCACATCGCACACATTGTGGGTCTATTCTCATACCTCGACTACATAGACGGGCACCCACAGATAAACAACCAGTAATGATTTGCCAGAGAAAATGTTGAAGTTTTGTGGTACATTTTACTCTCCATGATTGTGCCTGCAATTTCCGTGTATCTGGTCCGAAAACCGGGGGAGTTTCCTCTTCTTTTAAGTCCTGTAATAAAGCATATCCTGATTTAACCGTATACCGACCCATTTTGGTAAATATCCACCCACAAGGATCGGGCTTGGATCCCGAAGCAATTGTAATACCAGTGATTCGAGCAATTTCTGCGCTCTCAAACAATTGATGTAATAGTGGAAGATTCCACGTTGATGACTGGGAATTAATTAACTGACTCACCATTAACTGTGGGTAGTAATTAAATCCTTTGCAAATAGCTGACCTCGGGCGTGAATCTGAAATCCAAGGATCATACCAGACAGAGATAGATGAACCTGAACCGACTCGTTTAATAAGCCCCTTGTGAACCAGAGGTCGAGCAGAGATGATACTCTGCCATCCATACGACGGAGAGTAAGATCGTATAGGGTCCATGGGGGATGAATTCCGGTAATATCGCCCCTTGAACACTTTAGCGAATAGAGATTCCTGGTTCTCCATTAACCGCCATAATTGTTTTGCTAATAGAGCCGTATTGAAATCCTCGATGACTCGAAAACCCAGACCCCCGTCAGCCTTGTGACGACACAATTTCCTCCATGCTAACCAATGCATTCCCCGTGTTTCAGAGCTTGTACTCCACCAAAAATTAGCCACCGCACTAGTTAATTTATGAACAACCCCTTTTGGTAACCGGAAACAGGACATTACATGTGTGGGCATCGCCGAGAGCACTGACTTTACCATAACTTCTTTTCCTCCTTTAGAGAGAGTCTTTGATGTCCAACCATTTATCCGCTTTTGTTGCCGATCGATCAGAAAACTGAATATTTTTGTCTTAGCACCCCCTAAACTTTCTGGGATACCGAGATAATTACCCACACCCCCAACTTTGTGAATCCCTAGCAGCTGATGGATTGTTGTTCGTCACTATCCTCAACTGTATGGCCAAACTGAATTGAGGATTTATCAAAATTTATTTTCTGCCCCGACGCACACTCGTAGAGTTGAAGTATTTTTAGCAACACTGCACTTTCTTCCACTGTCGCTTTACAAAAGAATAAACTATCATCTGCAAAGAGTAAATGTGAAACCGGTGGGCTTGCGCGGGCTATTTTCAGGCCCGTTAGAACTTTCAAATTTGCCGCCTTCTGTAGATTGGAGATAAGAACTTCTGTGCATAGAATAAATATATATGGGGATAAAGGATCCCCTTGTCGTAAACCTCTATGCGGAATAATCCTTCCCCTAGGTTGTCCATTAATAAGGACTTTATATTGGACCGAGTTAATACACTTCATAATCCACCTGATCCATGTCTCTGCAAACCCCATCTTCCGCATTGTGGCCTCCACAAATTCCCACTCAACCCGATCATAGGCCTTACTCATATCCGTTTTAACCGCCATGAATTTTCCTTTACAAGACTTGTTTGTCCGTAAACCGTGAAACATCTCCTGGGCTATCAAGATATTATCTGAGATCAGTTTCCCAGGGACAAAGGCCGATTGAGTCTCAGAAATCAATTGAGGGAGTACTATCTTTAATCTCTCACATAAGACCTTTGAAAGAATCTTATAGCCGACGTTACAGAGACTAATCGGACGTAACTCCGTCATCCGAGTGGGTCTCTCCGTCTTTGGTATAAGGCCTATATTCGTCATGTTTAACCGATCATCAAAATGGCCCGAGGTTAAGAAATCATTTATAAAGCCCATGACATCCGCTTTGATTAGAGGCCATGATTTTTGAAAAAATAGAGCCGTCATCCCATCTGGTCCCGGGGCTTTTTCTGGATTCATGAGGAAAAGCGCCTTACGAACCTCTTCCTCCGTTGCAGTTTTGGTTAACACTACATTATCCGTTTCTGTAACTACTGATGGAATCCCCTCCAAAATTTCCGAGATATCCCCGGGGGAGGTAGTACTAAAAAGATCCGAGAAATACTCAACTGCTACCTTTTTCATCTCTTTATCCCCTGTAACCCAACTATCCGTTTTATTATGTAACCCGACCATCCTATTTATTGCTCTCCTTTACTTTGTTGTGGCGTGGAAAAACTTTGTGTTTAAATCCCCATCTTTGAGCCATAAATTGCGACTCTTTTGTTGCCAGTACTGTTCTTCATCCCTATACGCTTCCCTCAATTGTGTGTAATATCCACTAGTTCCTCTTGGATCCGGTTATCGTCATTCTGGACATCTTCCAAAAGTTTCTGCAGCTCCACAATTTTATCCTTACCATATGGTTTGTTTTCATGTCTCCATTGGGAGATCTCATACCGGCAATTACCAATCATATCTACTAATTTTGATTCCCGATTATTCGGATTGTTCTTCCAACCACGTTCAACTGCCTCCGAGAAACCATTCTGCCCAATCCAACGTTTGTCAAAACGAAACTGCCGTCTACCCTTTGGGATTTTGTTGTCTATTGTAGCCAGAATAGGTCGGTGGTCCGATCCTATCATCTTCAAATACTCTACGTGTGACTTCGGGAAAGTGTCATGCCAATCTTCAGTGGCTAATGCTCTATCCAATCGACACCGAACAATCTTTCCCCACCTCCTCCCTCTCCATGATAATATGTTTCCATGGCTCGGGAAATCCACTAAACCGCAGTCATCAATCATAAGATTGAAAGACATAAATGTTGAAGCATACCTCATAGTACCTCCTTGTTTTTCATGGTTACCCGTTATTTCATTAAAATCCCCAATTAAAAACCAAGGTTCATTCCTAGTAATCCCTATCCTTGTTAACTTCTCCCATAAATAATCTCTTTGTTTTGGCACTGGATTTCCATATACAAAAGACATAAACATTGTTTTGCCATCAATAGTCACTTGAGTATCAAAGATGCTAGACCACCACTTGTGCCACATGGGTCAACCGTGTACAAATTATCAAAACCAAAGTGAAATTGAAATTGTTGCAAAAAATTAAAATCCTGCTTTGTCTCGGAAAGAAACAAAAATTCAGGGCGAAACTTCCACCAAATCTCCCGGAGATAACTTATTGTGAACCTGTTTCCAAGTCCTTGGCAATTCCAGCTTAAAACACGCATCAAACAGCTGGATTAGTAGCCTCCGATCCCTCCGCCGGGTCCTTGTCCGCTCCACTTCCCGTTGCCATATCCCCAATACGGGTTGCCTCTCTAGGCACCGGTTTCTTCTTTGGCGTCTTTGCTCCCTGCAATAGACGCTTCAGAGGGCCACCGACTCCCACCGTTGCTTTCGTGACCTTACGGCGCACTCCGACTTTCCTCACCGCCACAGCCTTATTCTTCCCAACTTCCTTAGCCTCCACGTCTACGAATTGCTCAACACCGAGCATGGTATCCACTTTCTCACTTCCCCCATCAACCACTTCCTTCGCCTCCTGGATCTCTAACAACTCCTCAAACTCCTCCGTCGTTTTCTCCACCTCCCCATCCTCGATCACTTCATTCCACCAAGTCTCCCCATCCTCGTGCTCCAACTGTTCCACAGTCATGGGATCAGCCACCGGCTCAACTGCCGGCACCACCGGGACCTCATTCTCTCCCGTCATCTCCATCGCACCATTTTCAACCGCATATCGTATCTCATCTAATTCCGCCACAGCCTCTGTAAAATCAATTGCTTTGCGGACTTTCTAAGCCGAGTGTTGGCTTGGGCTGATATGGTTCCCTCCGGTCCTCTCCGTAACGGTGTCACCACCATGACTAGCAACACCAAGAGTTCCCGGACGCCCCGACAGAGCCATTGGTCTATTGATTCTCTTCCGCTGCTCCGGAGGGAGATAACCTGCCGGTTTCCTTTGGCCACCAGAACTCTCACCTACATGCTTTCCATTTCCCCGAAAGCCCCCGTTCCGTCTACCTCTTTCCTCCCTCGCGTCCACCTCCTTTCCTTTTCCTTTTGGGTCACCAGCATGAGGCGCTTGAACCTGTCGCGCACCACTTGAGTCCCCCTGGGGTCCATTAATGACCACTCCCTTGTAACTTGTCACCCCACCATCCGGTTTTTCATCCTTCCTCGTCAATCTTTCCCGCTCCTCCCTGGCTCTTCTAATCGTCGGACACTGTAACACATCGTGGCAGAGACTTGAGCATTCTCTACAAACCCCAAACAACCGCTCATAACGAAGCATCACCACCGTTTCTTCTCCACTGTGAAAAGCCACACTTGTCTCAAAAATCAAGGGCTTATACCCGTCGAGGCATACTCGAACTCGGCCACCATCAATATCAACCTCCAAAACCTCTCCAATGGCCTCTCCGATGCTCCGGAATGTTGGCTCAGCCCAAAAATGAAGTGGGATTCCCATCATCCGGACCCAAAACTTGATCGCAGATGGATATGTCGGCTCCATCACTGGTTCCCATCTCACCAAGGAGACCATCGAATAATCAAAATGGAAAGGCTCCAGTTTGAATACCTCCGCAATATCCTCTTCGTTCTCGAAGTCGAACTGAAACCTCCCCATCCCCAAGTCCGCACCCCCAACTCGCTCCTCCATCTTCCAGAACCGAGGCATATGGTGAAGAAGAGCTTGGACATCCTGAGCTCCCGGGTTCATGCACCGTCCAATCAGGGTTCTAGAGTAACCCCTGATCAGAGCCGTGTTATCAAAACGAGGCACCGTGATCTTCAGGCGGGTTCCTTGTTTCTTGTTGCCCTTGACAGAATCACCAGCACCGAGAATGTGTCCTTGAGACATGGCGAGCCCTTGCAAAAGCAACACCCAAAGAGAATTTCCGTATAAGATGTTGAGAATACTAGAGAGACAAAAGCAAGAGTAAGAGCGTATGATACTACAGCGCTCAAGCTTATACTTATAGTACTCTAACCCGTGCCAATCAATCTCCCTTAATTCCGTTAGAATTCCACTCAAAAGATACTAAAGACCCTCAAAAATCCAAGAATTCCGTAGAAAATATTCCCAAATCATCCCGCATATCCCAATTACCTGGTGATGAATTTGGAAACCGATAATCCGATACTCCCTTGATTGACCCTCCCGCTGTGATTTTGGAACTATAGTGGACCCCTCCTTGGAAGTTTCCTTTTCCCCTTCCATTGCGATCTCTCCTTTCCACGAATAACTCTCCCGGAATCCTGTGCGTATCGAAGCGGTGTTCATTACAGGCAGATCCGATTTATCAGCCCATATCTTCCCACTCATCGTGATTTGCTCAAATCAAATCCACCCACACTCCGATCTCAATACAGCAGATCCCTCCATATCTCCTCGATTTCTCCGAAATAAGATTGTCAATAAGAGAAACAATCCGGATCCGAGATCCCCACCAGATCTCATGAAGCTCTCGCATCTAATCATAAACAAATCATATAATTCCCCGAAATCGTCTTCCGTACACCACAACCGAACCGAATAAAGAAATCCGACACCGACACTGAGATCCGTAAGAGGAATCATGTTGAAACCCTAAAAATCGCCATCGCCGTCGCCTAACAAAAAAAAATTTTAGAAACTTTCATTATGTTACCTATTAACAGTTTTTTTTTAGTCAAGTATTATAGTCTTAGTAATGAATTTATATATTTATATTTGGAATAGAATCGAATCAACTAAAAAACGAATATTAATCACATATAGAAAATCACAATACACAAATACTTACTATAGGAAATGTGATTTATCATAAATTTTAGTTTGACTAAAATTGTAATCCACATTTATTGATAAAATTGATTAATATGCCGTTTGACCAAAATAAAACTAGAAACGTAACTAACCCAGTATTAATTAGTTATTTCATAAATACAATGTTATTTTATTATTTTTATAAATTTTGAATTAAATAAATATGAATAGTTTAATAGAAAGAAAATTTGAAATTTAACATAAAAAAACCATAAGATATATTTTAACAGTTTACAATCACTTATGAACAAACACACCTTGGTACGTCAAAACCATATCCGAAAGAGTTGAGTGTTTTAACTTACCTGACCGTAATTAGAAGCGCCTTTACGCCACCAAGATAGGCGTGTGGAATCACCTCCTCCCGGTAGAGGTTCAGGGCTGTTGTACCTTCCTACACAAGCAATTAAATTCAAGAAAGCAAAGATCAAGATGAATATAAAAAAGGAAGAAGAACCAATCCCTTAGTATAGCTTTGAACAGGGAGAGCCAAACACAAGAAACGCATACTCTGATGCTGCAGACACACCCAAGCTTGCTCCAACCAGAGCGGTCTGAGATACAAGGAGCCTTTGCCCGGAGGAGAGGAACCTAATGAAAACAAAGCTTGAGCCTTTAAGACAACTAAATCAAAGATAATGTCGAGGACCAAAAATATATAAAAGGACAAGTTTTTACCCAACGTTTAAGATACCGAATGCAACAATTGGGTAAAAAGATCATGTCAATTACATGTGTGACACTGTGATATAACAGGAGATATAAATCAACAGTGCATTCGGTATCTTATATGATCACTACAAACAGAGCCAAAGCACAAGCCAGTCACATGTGTGACAGTGTGAGAAAGAGAGACATACATTTTTACCGCAGCGCATACACATCAAAAAGTTCCAACCCTAATATTAAGAACAAAGAAAGAAGCAAAAAGAATGAAACTTTGTTCCCATCAATAGCTACTTCTTGACAAGCATAACTATTTTAAGGCTCCAAAAGCAATCCATACACTAAGAATTTATAAGAGCTCCTTCAAATCTCAGCAAAGAAATAGAAAAAAGGGAAAAAAAAAACTACTCTTTAATCCTAGATTCATCTGAAAGCATAGAAATCGTGGAAATGAGTTTTCATTTCGTCTGCCAAAAGAATAATACTTGATATCTACTTCTGAAGGGAGTAGCAAGTAGCAACATGTAATCAATGAGATTTAGCTTGAAACAAGTCGATATGTGTATCAATGTATGTAGGTGGAATCAAAGAGTTTAAAAACAAAAAAGAAAGAAGAGAAATACCTCTGTATTTATGAACAAGATTGCGACGGCTAATGATCATGACTTGTGAATCTGCGGATGCCACCATGACTCTGCTTGGGTCGGTTGAATCAAACTAGTTTTTGAGTATCATGGAAACAGAGTAGCTTGTTATCTTGCGCCGCACGTCTCTTGCGGCTTTTCTTCTCTGTTAGGCACAAAGACAAAGACGAAATTGTGAATTAGGGTTTTGTGGGTTTCTCACCTTCTCGCACTTAGCCGCGATCTTGTAATCTTCGAGAAACAATGAAGAAGAAGAAGAAGCGAAATTAGGGTTTAGTCAGAATCACCAGCCGCTATCGTGTTAAGGTCCGTCGAGAAGAAACGATGAAGAAGAACCATTTAGATTATGTTGTGGGTTTCTTCTGGTAACGAATTTCTTGACCGAAAAAGTTGTAATTTTTCTCGGGAAAGATGGAAGATCCTCTCGTAGCTTTCTTCTTCTTCGTCTTTCTCAGAGCAAGCAAAGAACTTAGAGAGAGAGATAGACAAAATTGAGAATGAGCGAGAGTGAAGAAAGAAAGTGCCTCTCTTGCTTTATTATATGGTTAAGCCCATTGTTAAATTTTTCCGTTTTTCTCCATTTTGATGCTTAGGGGTTTGATCACTGTGATTTAGTCACTAACGGTCGAATGTAATATTATTAATTACGATTTAGCCCTTGTTTCGGTATCTCCATTTTCAACCAAAGTTTTGAGTGAGTAGGAAGTTTCTTTGCCCTTTCTTGTTTTTTCAGGTTGTTTCGTTTAGTTGTAGTTTTGTAATTAATACACACAAGAAATCACATTGAGCAAACCAGGAAAAGAAATCATCGAACCAGCTAACCAGCTACATAACCGTCTGGTCGTCCCTTAAACCAAAACACAGAAAGTTGTCATTTTGTACAAAACCAAATTCTAGATTCTATAGTCAACATCAGTCTCAGATTATTTAGGTATATGGAAAACTAGAGATTCTAAATACCATTCAACAACAATATAAACTCAAAGCATAAATCCATAACTTCTATTAGTTACCAACTTAGAGTCATGTATGAAGGAACAGCGTCGTGCTTCTCTGTTACGTGTAGCTTATGAAAGTGACGATAACTCTTATTATTGATAGATAGTAACGATTACAGAACTTCGAGAGAAGTTAATGGCGTCTCTCATCACCCCTTAAGAGATTTAATGGAGTCTCTCACCTTCCCTGTGATCACTCAATCTCGTGATGAAGATCTCCCTCAACCCCCCCCAAGCTAATATATAGATAAGTCTAAGAGATAACCATGGTTACTTTGAGAGTAACCACAATAAACTGTGGTTACTTTACCATAGTTAATAAAAAGATATTAACCGCTCCTATCAATACTCCCGCCTTTGAATTCAACCTTGTCCTCAAGGTTGAGGTGTAGAAACTGTCCCGTCAGTAGCTTGTGCAGCGTTGCAGCTTCTTTGAGATGTCGTTGGTCTTGGAAAACCTTCCTCCTTGTGCTGCAGCTGTTCGAATATCCAGTAGTTCTTCAGCTTGTTCATGCTTGTTTTTCGCTTCCAAAGTATAAACCCAAGCAAGCAGATCATATGAGTGGACGTGACTTCTCCAGGTGTGCACGATAGCTTCAACGTTTATCACCAGACTTTCCCGCTCATGTCTCTCCATATCAAAGTCATCCCAAACCAGACTCCACTGCAACCGTAGTGAATATATAAGAGACGAGAGGAAACTCATTACAAAGCTATCTCCATGACTCCCATATGATTCCTTCATGACAACCAACTGTTTCCCATTCCCTAGCGTCAACTGTTGCAATTTGAGAACTCCTCCACCTCCTTTACCAAGGGATAAGGCAGAGACTCGTTTGAAGTCTCTCCTTTCAATCAACTCTTTGCCTTGAGAAGCTTCTTTTTCTGAATACTGAAAATGCTTGCGTTCCATACTCTTGAGCAGACTAATTTCTGTATTGTTAAGCACAAAACTAACCCAGAGACCATTTTTCAGACAGATAGAGGGATTACCATTTTTTGTAATCTTTTCAAGCTTCACCAATCCCTCCCAGCTACAGATAATCTCCACTTCACAGAGTGTTTTCCTTGTCTTTTTCTGTGACTCCACGTATTTATTTTTCCTCTTTCTCCTTTGGGTAAATCGTAGCAGCCACATCTCACAGAGCCAAGGGAATTTCTCGTTCATTCCCTCCTTTTTCTTGTGCTTGTGTCTGAATCTGTGTCTCTTTCCACTAGTCCAAAACATCTTCTTCTTAGCTAGACGCTTATACTTCGACTTTGTTCTCTTTCTCGTCTTGGCAGCTAACAACTTACTCTTCTGCATCAGTAGACCACTTAGCTGCAGCAATCTATCATCCCTTAAGTAAGCTCCCTCATAGCCATGCTTTTTCTTAAACCATTCGTTGAATCCCCTTCTATAAAGTTCAGGTTCAAGCTTAGGGTTCCAAAGGTTTACAATCTGTTGTCTCAACAACGTTGCCTTGATCTCTTCCTTCTGCTCGTTGTGTGTTCTGTTTGAATTTATGCTTCTTCCACCTTGCAAGCTTCTTCAAAACTGCCTTATGTCCCCAGAACAGCTTTGCAAACACCAGCTCATGCTTGATTACCTCTCTCTCATGCTCCTCCAGCCTTGTTCTCTTCTTCCTTTTCTTTGTAATCCTCCTCCTAAACCTTGTTCCAAAGATTTGGTGGATGTAAGAAACAAGATAGTTCACTAGCTTACATTGTTTCATTAAACTCTTGTTGTTTTGCCTTCTGAACTTGTACTCCTCCTGATTCACTTTTCCACATTTGTATTTAGACCTCTTAACCTTTGTGAACTTCTTCTTCTTCTTTCTCGTTGCCCTTTTCTGTACCATGGACGTTTTATCGAGCACCTGGCAGGCATACATATCCTGGTTGACAACTCTCTTTTTTCCCTTAGCGCCAAACCTATTTCTGACCTCTATCCAGCTAGGAGATGTCCTCTCTTTCTCTTCAGAACTCAAATGTTTCTCTAATCCCTCCTGAATCTCCAGAGATGCCTTCCATCTCTTCTTCTTTCTCTTATTCGTTACCACTTTTCCTCTCACAATCATTTGATCAAACAGTTGGCAGGCAGGTTTAGTCCTCTCAGCATCTGCCTCTTTTTGGTCACCCAATTGTTCTTCTGATAACAGATTTTCTACGGATATAGGCATACCTCTTTCGTCCGCTACTTTCTCCGATACAAACACAGGGACCTTCGTCTTCTGTGTCGACCGACCGTTCTTCTCCTCAGGAAAAGTCATCAACTGATTCTGCTCCAGAATCGGATCACTACTCTCCGGAGATCCTCCGGCATGGCTCGCGATCGCTCTTGAGGCTTGAATTTCCTCCTTCTGGTTCTTAGTAACCTTGGCGTCTCGCAGGTACTGCTGCAGCTCATCTAGAACACTCGACTCCTCCTTCTCTTTTCCACCGAGATTCTGTTTCTCTAGGCGATCTTTGTCATCTAGGAATTTCTCCATCTTAACTAGAAAGCTCTTAATCTTCTCCACTTTCCGTTTGAGCGCTGAGATCCGATCCCCAACTCCCGTTGTCTCCTCCGGACCCATGATTTTCCCAGTCACGTACAAGCTCTGATACCAATTTGTTACGTGTAGCTTATAGAAAGTGACAATAACTCTTATTATTGATAGATAGTAACGATTACAGAACTTTGAGAGAAGTTAATGGCGTCTCTCATCACCCCTTAAGAGATTTAATGGAGTCTCTCACCTCCCCTGTGATCACTCAATCTCGTGATGAAGATCTCCCTCAACCCCCCCAAGCTAATATATAGATAAGTCTAAGAGATAACCATGGTTACTTTGAGAGTAACCACAATAAACTGTGGTTACTTTACCATCGTTAATAAAAAGATATTAACCGCTCCTATCATTCTCTTCACGGTTAAGGTCATCAAGTCTACTACTTGTCTTACCTTCTTCAAACTTTTCTACTGATACTCCATATTGCTTCAGAATATATATCTCAAAGGACTCGCTTCTCCAACATAAGAGAGACTAAAGCTCTATCAAACATTGCCAACATTTACTCCTTTTGAAGATAATTCTGATTGTTGTCATGCAATTACTGATTTGTCTGGTTAGTACATCATCTCCTTCTTTGTTCTGCTATGAATTTGGGGTTGAAGATCTTTATGTTTACTTGCTAAAATTGATAAAATGCAGGTTAACTAACTACGAAAGTAAAAAAAGGTTGCGACTTATCTGAAAATCCTTGTGCAGCTATTGTATGATCGTGTCATGATTCGCAGGCTGCAGAAGATGATGATGATGATGGCTGTTTAGGTTTCATATCAACCACACTAAGTACACAATGAGAATAAGATTTTAGTAAATACAATTCTTGTTTCCAGTAATGTTGCTAAAATAAAAGTATTTTTTTTGTCAATTTAGCATTGATTTGTTTGGGGTCTTGTGTTTGATAAAGATTTGGCTACAAAGAAATCTCTCGTACTCAATAAAGCTCTGTCAATGCCTCAATCTGAACTCTCGTTGCATTTTTCAAGGTGTCAATTTGTATGAAAATTGAAAACAAAGTGTCATCATACTATTAAGAAACAAAAATTGGGAAGATATAATCAAACAAACGACACTGGAATATAAAGCAAGTCTTAAGAGCAATTTGTTGTTGCTAGAAGAAATCAACAACAAATTATGATATAAAATGATAAAATCAAACAAATGACACGTAAAAGACAAGCTCTCATCATACTATTTTGATATTTCTTCTAACTTCATCTACTTCAGTTCAGTCTCAAGATTTTTGCTCTTTAGTGTAGTCTCCTATACTCTCTCCATTTCTCAGCTTCTCCTTTCTGTTTTAACTTATAAATTCTCTTCCTTTTTTAACAAAAAACTCAGCAGATTTCTGTGATAGCTTTGACAAGTCTAGCAACCGATGATTTCAAACTAAGCGCATTAAAACTTGTACACAATTCACAATTCAAACACAGCAACGATGATATGCCACACACACACTAATATACATTCACAAGTCTAGAAACCGGTTATTGGATTACAGAGAAAACCATTAGATTAAGCCTTGACCAAACTCCTAAAGATGATAACCTATATAAACAAACCATAACCATAGCTACTTCGTTCAAAACAACTTACTTACCGCTCTAAACAACACCAAAAAATGGCTTCTTCCAAGTCATTCACCATTCGCTGCCTCCACGAGCCTTGCCAAAAGCCTGAGCTTCTTCATCTTCATTTGCACTTTCTCAGCGGATAATGCTTCCCACGCCTGGCTGATTTCTCTTCTTCTTCCGGCCTCAAGGTTCGTCAAGTTCCGAAGCTGCCACTTCTTCTTAGACTCGCTTATAGCTTGGTGCGGCACCAGCGTCTCAAATGCATCCCTCACCGTTCTTGACTCTTCAGCAGCAACGATATCATCAGTATCAACCTCAGTTCTCGCTCCCACATTCTCCGGTTGAACATTAGCAGCAGCAGCAGCAACTTGCTCGTCTTCAATGTGTTCCTCCTCCTGATTCTTCAAACCAAGTAAATGAATTTCGAAACACATGTCAACACTTTGTGCTTAGTAGAGAAATGGATAGTTATATAAACAAACAAAGCTGATAACTTACAACCAAGTCGACGTTTAAAGGTTGAACAATAGCAGGAGCAACAACTTGCTCGTCTTCAGTGTGTTCCTCCTCTTGATTCTTCAAACCAAGTAAATGAAAATTCGAAAAACATGTCAACACTTTGTGCTTAGTAGAGAAATAGAAACAAACGAAGCTGATAACTTACCACCAAGTCGACGTTTAAAGGTTGAAGTTGAACATTATCAGCAGCAGCATCAACTTGCTCGACTTCAACATGTTCCTCCTCCTGATTCTTCAAACCGTAAATGCAATTCATCAAGCAAATATTTGACAATCAATTCAAAATATTAAATTAAAAAAAAAAAAAATGCTGAATAACTTACAAGATTCACTCTCTGATTAGAGATTTGGGAATCGATTTCGCCCCAGATCATGTTGGAGTATCTAAAAGCGTCAGTAGAGATGGGCTCTTCCCCTTGATTGATTTTCCCAATGCGAGTAAAGAATTTTGCTTTTAAATAACCGATCTTATGCCGAATCTGCTCTTTAGAGAATTTCGCAGCGGCCATGTAATCGGAGGAATCTCCCAGGAAACGATGAAAAGCATCCCAATCAGAGTTTGGTTCCAGTCCTGTTTCAGCTTTGTAACCCACAAATCCCTGTTTTCGTACAAGTTTCATGAAATCAACATGCAATCCAAGGATGAGGAGCTATAGATAGAGAGAGGGAGAGAGAGACCTTTAACAGAGCGAGCTCTTGTTCGTCGTTCCAGATCTTGTTGGTCCGGGGAGCCAAGTCCACATTTAAAGGTTGAAGTTGAACATTAGCAGCAGCAACTTGCTCTTCTTCTTCCTCAGCTGTCTCCTCCTGATTCTTCAAACCGTAAATGAAATTCATCAAGCAAATACTTGACAATCAATTCAAAATATTAAATTTAAAAAAAAAAAAAAAAAAAAAAAAACTGAATAACTTACAAAATTCACTCTCTCATCAGCGGTATGAGAATCGTTTTGGCCCCAAATCATTTTGGAGTATCTAAAAGAGTCACTAGAGATGGGCTCTTCTTCTCCTTGATCGATTTTCCCAAGGCTAGTGAAGAATTTTCTCTTTAACGATCCCATCTTTTGCCGAATCTGCTCTTTAGAGTATTTCCCAGCAATGCAATCGAAATCTCCGAGGTAACGATGAAAAGCATCCCAATCAGAGTTTGGTTGGAGTCCTGTTTCAGCTCTATAACCCACAAATCCCTGTTTTCATACAAGTTTCATGAAATCAACATGCAATCCAAGGATGAAGAGCTAGAGATAGAGAGAGAGACCTTTATCAGAGCGAGCTCTTGTTCGTCGTTCCAGATGGTCCGGGAAGCCGATTGATCGGTTTTGTTCTTCTTCGTTGTTGGCTCTTCTTCTGCTACTGCAGAGGCACGTTTCCGCTGAGATTTTCGTCGGGAAGTCGGAGAGGTCGTCGGAGTCGACATGGTTATTGTACTTGCCTCTCACAATCGAGGGACTGTGGCATGCAGAGAAATCAAAATTTAAAATCAACCAAATCTACCTGTTGTGATCCCAAATCTCTATTAAAATAATTGGAGATTTTAGAGAGAAAGAGAGAGAAACCTGATTTGGGGAAGGCACAAGACACACAAGAGAGAAGATGTCGAACCAAGAAATCTATACTCGCTGATGGCAGGCCTCAGCCCATTCACATTCTACTAATGGGCCTATCTTATCTTGGGCCATTACATTGACCCGACCCGACCCGATTTGACAGTAGTGAGAAGAAAACTCGCAAGTGTTTTTAGCTTCGTCGTCTTCTTCTCCGTTTCGCTCGGGAGAAGGAAGACACCTAAAACCCAAATACAAATACTCCACACAAAAGAATGGAAATTCTCCGAAAGTTCAAACTTCCCGCGAGATCCAAGTCGCCGATCTTCGCTTTTACAGTTACCGGCCTAGCTCTCACCGCCGTCACTGGCGCCGCCGCCCTTTCTGTTTTCCGGGACACTCCTTCCGTTCATAATCCCAACAAAATTGCGACGGCGATCGAAGGCGTCGCTCGCTCTTCTCGCGCTATCTACGCCGTTCGTATATTTTATTTCTCTCTAATCTCTATTAGCTTTACCGTTCTCTTTCCAGCTCGCTTTATTCTCTGCTATTGCAGATCACTCTCACCGTCGCCGATTACAAGTATAATCTGCGTGGTTTTCCGGTGGATTCCGATGAGTATCTTCAGAGATTAACAGAGGTTTGTTACATTTCCGATTTGCCTCTGTATCCGACTAGTTTATACATATCTCGATTGTTATTTAGTCAAATTTTACAATGTCACCTTCGTGTTAAGCTTTGTTACATGGCCTTTTAGTGTCATCAATGGCTATAAGAGTTTATTCACCATAGATAGGTCTTGGATAAACCGTTACTTGAGATTTGATATGAGATCAAATACATTTCAATAATTCGTCCATTAAGCTAAGCTCAAATGATAATAGTTTCCGTTACATAGTGATATATTTATTCGGGATCACAGAATTGAAGTTATATTGATACTATTGAAGAATGCAAACGCTATTTTGTAGGTTCATACACGGTCTGCTAGAAGATTTCGTAAACTGTGTGAAAGTAATAAAGGTTTCTATGTGAAAGCTGGTCAGTTTGTGGCTACGTTGAAGCTAGTTCCTAAAGAGTACTCTTTGGCACTTTCCTCGTTGCAGGATCAGGTGTGAATAGTGTTATACTTAAGTTTCAATGTGTTTTGCGTAATTGGTTTCCCTCATTCGATTTATATGAATGTTTTGTTTCTAATTTGTTTGTCTTGTAAAAATCACTGAAGGCAGTTCCTTGCAGTTTCCAAGATATAAAACATGTTCTGAGCAGCAACTTGGGTCAAAATCTGGAAGAGATGTGAGTATTTTAGAGTTATCGTATAACCATCTCTGTTTATACTAATTTAGTCTGAGTGTCAAGTTATTTTTGTAATCTTCAGTTCTATTAAACATCCCTCATGGTTAAAAATGTCAGATTTTTGTCTTTTGATGAGGAACCAATTGCGGCAGCATCCATTGCTCAAGTACATCATGCAGTATTAAAGAACCATCAGGAAGTAGCAGTGAAGGTTAATTTCTCACATTTCATTCACTTGAGATTATTGAAATCGGTCCTTTTGATGATATTGATTCACTTGATTCTCAAATGTTGGGATTTTTGTTTTTTTTTTGGGGACTAAAAAGGTGCAATACCCTGGATTGAAGCAGAATATGAAGTTAGATACAATGATCATGTCGTTCCTTTCAAAATCTGTTGCAAAGGTGCATGTAGTTTCCTCTTGCCTTATATTTATGCCTCTGTTTTCTTCGAAGCTGTAATATATGAAAAGAAGTGGTGAAGTCATTTCCTGTGGCAATGGGAATTTTCACGAGGCTTTAGTTCAGATGATAAAGTATCTGAGACTTTAGTTTCATGTAAGACTGAGAGTAGTTTATGTTGACTTCTGGTAGATGTTGTGCATGTTTAGATTACGAGGACTTCCTTCTAACTTTATTAGTTTTGCGGTGATTGAGACCTTAGCTTATGTTGTTGTGGAAAGCATTAGTTGAGATCAATGTTGCAGTTACATGAGCTGTGTTTGCATCTTTGATGCTTATGTATAGCCTGCGTATCATATGCAGCCGCTTATAGTTTCTTAGAGTCTTTTTTTTTCTTCACTTCGCAGATTTTTCCAGAATACAGATTTGACTGGCTGGTTTATGAATTCGTAAAGTCAATTTCCCAGGAACTTGGTCAGTAAACTAAAACTGTAATGCTAAGCACATACTCATGTGCATGTGTTTGTGGTTTATTCAGACATTGTGTGCATGTGTTATTTCGTTCCTTACATTCTTTCTCGATATCTGATGATTCCTTTCGGTTTTATTGGTCTTCTCCACAGATTTTATACAGGAGGCAAAAAATTCAGAGAGAATTGCCAAAAACTTCAAACATAACAAAATGGTTACCGTTCCTACAGTCTTTTGGGTATGACTAAAGAATTTTCATTAATGCACCAGTATCATTGATTGCATAGTCAATAACTGTGATGCAATTTTTTTTGTCCTCCTGAAATTTCTGAGTACATGTTGAATCGAATTTTTTATTTTGTTCCCTTACTTTTATCATTCGAAATAATATTTCAGGAGTTCACAACCGCTCAAGTCCTGACAATGCAGTTCTGCAAAGGTTTCAAGGTAATATTTATCTGTCATCCACTCTGATAGATCGTCGTGCAGCTTCTCTGTTGCGTACTGTATTTTCTTGTATATGTTAAAACCAACTCGGATCTCCTTAGGTTTTCAGGTTGACGATGTGGAATCCCTCAAAAGAACCAATTTAAGTCCTGAAAAGGTTTTGGTAACGATTTCTTGATTCCTTAGTTTCCTGAAGCTTTGAGGATACAAATTTTAAAATTTTCTCCATATCATTCTAGGTTGCTAAAGCATTGGTTGAAGTGTTTGCTGAAATGATATTCGTTCACGGATTCATACATGGCGATCCACATCCCGGAAATATACTAGTTTCTCCTCGAGGCAACAATGGCTTCTCTCTAGGTTTGTAATTCTCTTCTTGACATCTCTCACTGCTTCCAAATTCTAATCATAAAAACTGATATATCTCCTTCAAAAGTTCTGCTAGACCACGGGAACTGTAAAACATTGGATGAAGGATTTAGACTAGACTTTTGTCGACTATGGGAGGCTCTGATTCTTCTGGACTCAAAGAAGATACAAGAATTAGGTAAACAGTTTGGTGTTGGCAAATATGCCAAATTCTTCCCTGTCATTTTTACCGGAAGAACTAGTGAAAGGTAACTACTAGACACTAGACAGTGTTTTACATTTTCGGTTTCGCGAAAAACGGTCTTGATCTTTGTTTTTGGTGTTGGTGATAGCAAATCAGGACTAGGAAAAGGAATGTCTATACAAGAGAGGCAAAAACTGAAACAGGAGCTCAAGCTTTTGAAATTAGAAGATGTCACTACTTTCATGGGTTCTCTTCCACCTGACTTTCTCACCGTACTGCGAACAGAGTAACAATCCTCACTCTTTCTCGGGTTTTATTAGTAATTGATTCTTGAGAAATACCCTTAAAGTGTACCCAAACAAACTAGAATGACGAAAATAGCATCGTAAATTTTTGTGTGACCAAAATGGCATAAATAATTTTGTGAAAAAAACATTTGTTTACCCTAATTATATATTTATATATCATGTAAAATTAAATCATTGTGTTTGGGTTCCTTTTTCCTAAATTAGGGTTTAGGGTTTAGAAAAAAAAGTTGAATTATTTTTATGTTGAATATTAGTCAATATTTTGGTCGTACCAAGTTTGTTTTGGTCCATTTTGGTCATTGTCTCTTTATCCATGACTTACTAATTCCTTGTTTTTGCTGTATTAAAGTGGACTCATACGGTCAATCACTTTGAAGTTAGGTGCTCCACAACGAGTGAGACTACTCGCTTATGCGAAATCTGCGGTTTATGGGCTCGGCTACAACCTTGTTTCTGAACCAGGTAATCAGAAGTTACTGTCATCAATTTATTAACTTATCTATTCAATTTTACATGGATGAAGCTAAAATGTAGATTTTTTTTTCTTTTTCTTTTTGCTATTTCCAGATTTTGTTGACAAGTCGATAACCTCTAGATCTCTTATGTTGATGAGTTACCTTCGGTTACGTCTTGTTTTGGGTAAAGAAACAACTAATCTATAAATAATAAAGTTTATACTTAAAAGCTCTGTGTGTAAATTTTTGAAATATTTTTTATGGTTTCAGAGTTGGTGGAGCTTTTTCAAGGAATGAAGAAGCTGAAACATACAATCTATACTTTATATGAACGAATTATCAACGGTATCACAAAAAATGTAAAGGTCTCGAGTGCATTATAGATAGAAATTATAAGATCGATTCTTTGGCATATTTGATAATGCGACTCTCGGAGCTAATCAGAGCCAAAAACCCAATTATGTTTGTTGGTTGATTATTCCTTATTCGTCCATATAAAATATGTAACACCCCTAATTCCTCGCATTTCTTTATTTGATCCCCGGATTTAAAAACTTGCGATCACATAGAGTCATGAGCATATAATTTGGCCAGTGAGAATCGCACTTTTGCATTAACCAATCTGTAGCCACTAAAACTAACACAAAACGAAAATCATTCAGCATCTTTGATTCGCTCATTGTTTTGGGGAGATCCAATCATAGTCTTTTCACAAAACAATAAAGAGATTCACTTATTATCATTAGTCATTCTTGGATATGGAAGGAAGGTTTTGGTGATATATGTTTGAATTTTGTCATCGTTGGCCGTGTTATTAATTAATTCCGCTACAAATCTTATTATATAAAGTTGGATATGCGCGACGTGGTTGCAACACCTATGATTTTTATAAAATATAGGATCGTGACATGTGTCACTTTTAAGATTATGTCCGTTAAGATCGTGACACATGTATTAGGGGAAAAAATATTTTTAAAAATACTAGAAAAAAGATAATTAAAAAAAACGAAATTTAATCTATTATATTAAAAAAAATGAAAATTAATATTTGTCATATCCTAACAGAAAAAGGTTTTCCCATTCATCAAATTTATATTATCCAAACACATATCTTATTATATAAAGCTAGATGGTTGCGACATGTAGGATTTTTATAATTTACAGGATCGCGACATATGTCACTTTTTAATGTTACGTCCGTTAAGATCATGACATGTGTCTTGGGAAAAAACAAATAATTAAAAAATGTTAGAAAAAGGAAAATTAAAAAAAATATCTATTAGAGTAAAAAGAAGAAAAATCATATTTTTCATATCATAATAGAAATTTTTTCTCATTCATCAAATTTATATTGTCCAAACACATATTAAAATTCAAAATAATGTAATAAACAAAATACTATTTGTACATTAGGAAAAATCAGAAAAAAAAAGAAATAAACAATTAAAAAGAAAAAATATTACATCCATTAGGAAAAGTAAAGAAGAAACATAATCCTATTACGAAAAGGAAAAAAAAACGAAAAATCAGAAAATTATGAAGAAATAATTAAAAAATTGTTACATCCAATAAGATAAGGAATAAAAAAACATATTCCAAATACGAAAAGGAAAATATAACAAGCTATATTTTTTTAAGTTTCTTTCTCATTAAGAAATAAAAAATCATGTTTTAAAAGTTCAAGATATCAATGAAGAATAATTAACTTTAGATCGCTACATGTGTCTAATATTTGATCTGGTGATGACATATGTCAACACAATAAAATTGGAAAAATGTAGTAACATAAATAAATAAACTAACAAAATAATTGTAAAACAACTAATTAATAATGAAAATGAAAATTTATAATGGTAAGAGGCAAACACAAAATTGAAAAAGAAACAATATAAATAGAAAACTAACAAAATAATTATCAAGGAACTAAATAATATTAAAAAGAAAGTTTTATAATGGACCAATCTTCTAATATTAAATAGTTAAATTTTCCATTTTTTGTTAGATAAAACAATATTAAAAAAATTCATCAATATTTAGAATAAAGGTTTCAGCAATGGAATAATCAAAGTTTCATAAATTAACGAGTCCATTAGATTTAGACACATGTAAGCTTTTCTATTTCATATCATGAATTCAAAATTAAAATGTAAAAATATTACATATCTTAGTTTATTTAGAGATTTATTATCGGGTTTTTAATATTATTTTACTTATTTTTAAAAGTGATCAAATTTTGTTTAATATTCTTCATGATTTTTATAAAAGGAAATTAAAATAAACCCGCGTATACGCGGGGCCTAATCTAGTTATATATATATATATATATATATATATATATATATATATAATACCTTATTATGTTAATCCTTTTGAAAAGAACCTATGTTTTCTTTTTAAAAAAATTTACCGATAAATTTAGGAAATTATCATGAAAATAATTAAAGTGACCAAACTTTTAAATAACTTAAACTTTGACTAATCTTTGACATTTTAAATATAGTTTAAAGATAAATCATAAACTTCTTGCATAAATATGGATGATATTTTCAATGCGACATGGTATTCTCAAGTAATATTTGACAAGGTGATGTGATTTTGTAAACAAGGTGATTACAGAATATATATATATTGGCAATTAGCTTTATGAGGTCGAACTAAGCTACATGTTTCCGAATAAGACTTTGTTGACATTACCACAAAACACATCACCACCTGTAGATTTTGGATTTCGAAGGTAATTGGATGACTATTTGGAATAATTAAAAACAGAGTCGGTGCAATTATGTGTCGAATTAAAGGGTTTGGAGAAAGTTGAAGATGAGAAAGAGAACAAAGAGGATGACAAGGAGGAGGAGGAGGATGATGAGGATGAGGATGACATGTTATATTGGTGTGATGATTCAGAAGGAGCATCCTCGGGTGATGATGACTTTACTCTTCATAATTTTTCTTATTCTCTACACCTTCAAGAGCCAACCCATGAAAAGTAAAGTCCTCATCACCCGAGGATGCTCCGTCTGAATCATCACACCAATCGAACATGTCATCCTCATCCTCGTCATCTTCATCCTCGTCCTCGTCATCCTCTTTGTTCTCTTCATCATCTTTAACTTTCTCTAAATCTTTTGTTTTTAGTTCGACACCGAGTCGCACCGACTCTGTTTTTAGTTGTTCCAAATAGCAATTCAATTCCCTTTGAGATCCAACATCTATATGCGGTGTGTTTTTTGGTAATACTTCATGAGAAATTATATATATATATATATATATATATATATATATAAAAAGATATTCTATATAATGTCAACAAAACTTTCTTCGGAAACATATAACTCAGTTCGACCTCATAAAGCTGATTGTCGATATCATATTCTGTAATCAACTTGTTTACAAAATTGCCAAAAGCAGTTTCTTCATTAGAATATCTGTTTAGTCAAAAATAGAATATCTTTTATTTATAGATTTCTATCATTTTGTTATTTTTAGGTAAGATAAAATTTTGTATATATATATATAATATTTTTATTGCATATATATATGTAATATTTTTAGTGCATATATATATATATATTATTTTCTCTATACTTTTAAAAAATATATATTAACAGTTTTCTTTATATTACAATTATTACAAATTCCATCTTTCTAGATCTTCAAAATTTTATATATGAAAAAATTAAGAACGAGATAAGAAGACTTTAAAATCGAGAGACAAACCTGGATTCCTTGATGGAATTTAGACTGATTCACGACTCACTCCCATATCCAAATCTAATGAATTTTTTTCGCAATGTCCAAATCCAATTAATTTTTTCGTTGAGCATGAGAACTCAAATTCTAGATTTCTTAGATTCTTTTGTCTTTATTTGAAAATCTGATAGATCTAACACAACATCATTAAACGAAAAGTAAATCTATTGATAACAATAACAAAGAAATATACTCCTTATCAATCTGAATGATAAATTTTTCAAAACATTTCACATAAATATTTTAATCATAAAATATATAAATTATCAAAATTAAGCAGTTGGCTATGATTCTAAACCAATAGTAATCCAAAAAACATAATTATCATCAATTATTATTTCTTGAATTCTGAATTTTGTAGTATTGAATGATAAAAGTGCATGAAAAACTTACAAAAATTATCTTTGAGAAACAAGAATAAAATGGTAGAAAATCATTATTCAACAGAGGAAATAAACAATATAATAGATCTATTTACACTTACATAAATGTTGGATCTCCTATTCGTTCTGCTACCACGAAGAGAAAAACTGATTGCGACAGCTCAACCTGATGAGACATCTCTTATTTACAAATGGTGTTGTTGTCCCTGAAATCTCACACAAATTCCCATGAGATATAACAAAAAAAAATATATATATATATATATATATATCAGAGATTTCTTGTATACAAGGTACCGCCGTCAAGATCTTATTACGATTTAGCGAATAGCAGACCTTATATAGAGTTCTAATTAACCTAAAAATATTGAATCACTAGAACGACATCGTATAGAAAATGAGATATCTAAAAGAGTTAACCAGCCCATAATAAGCATGTATAAAATATATATATCCAAAATAACATTGAAAATTTTTTTTGACAAATTAATGGGTAATAAAAATACAAAACCCATGACAATAACCCAAATGGGCTTGGATTTGAGAAGAAACCCTAAAATCAGACCCGGGTACCAAACTGGTTGAAACCGGGGAAGAAACAAAACTGGACAGAACAAGCCACTCCACCACGACCTTGCCGTCAACTTACCTCCAGATCTACCTAGACCACATCCCTAATGTAACAGCCCGGCTCACCGGCCCACCGCCGGCCCGGTACTGTTAGGGCTGCAGCCCAATACACCCCAACCCCTCCGGTGTATAAGGCCATTGCCACTATATCAACCTAGGTTGTTGGTGAGACTCGAACCTGAGACCTCACCCTTTAAGTAGCCTTCCCTACAGGAAGCTACCACCAATTTACCTGCAGATCAATCTCGACTCATACTTTGTGGTATAGAATTGTTGTTGTGTATTGTCTGTTAGTCATTTTTATCTGTGATAGTCTTGTGGAGGTTCTCAACGCAATTGAATGTGTAGGGACCTTGTTAGTGGGCGGTTTTGAGTCCCACGTTTTATTCGACTCTGGAGCATCGAATTGCTTCATTACACCGGAGCGTGCCGAGAAGAGTGGCATCCGGAGTAGCGCGGGCGAGAGCGCGGGCATGGTCAAGGTGGCGGGAGGTGGATTCTTGTCTACTTTGGGCCGTGCTAGAGGAGTCGAGATCGAGATTGCGGGGCAGTCAATGCCAGCAGACTTAGTCATCAGTCCGGTGGAGCTGTATGACGTTATTCTCGGGATGGACTGGTTGTCACACTACAGAGTTCATCTGGATTGCTACAGAGGTAGAGTGGTCTTCGAGCGAGATGCAGGGAGGTTGGTTTATCAGGGAGTGAGACCGACTTCCGGGAGTATTGTGATATCTGCTATTCAGGCCGAGCAGTTGTTAGAGCGGGGCTGTGAGGCGTATCTGGCGACGATTTCTATGTCTGAGTCAGGAGCTGGAGTTGTTATGGGAGATATTGAGGTTGTCCAGGATTTTGAGGATGTCTTTCAGTCACTGAAGGGATTACCACCATCTCGGTCTGATCCTTTCACGATTGAGTTAGAGCCGGGGACAGCACCGATATCGAAGACGCCTTACAGGATGGCGCCAGCTGAGTTGGCAGAGCTGAAGAAGCAGATAGAGGACCTTTTGTCTAAGGGGTTCATTCGACCGAGTGTTTCACCGTGGGGAGCACCGGTGTTGTTTGTGAAGAAGAAGGATGGAGTTTCAGACTTTGTATCGATTACAGAGGTCTTAACCGAGTCACTGTGAAGAACAGGTACCCACTCCCGAGGATTGATGAGTTTGGATCAGTTGAGGGGTGCTACTTGGTTCTCCAAGATTGACTTGGCATCGGGGTATCATCAGATCCCGATAGATGAGGCAGATGTCAGGAAGACTGCTTTCAGGACGCGTTATGGGCATTTTGAGTTTGTGGTTATGCCTTTCGGTTTGACTAACGCGCCGGCAGCCTTCATGAGATTGATGAACGACGTGTTCAGGGAGTATTTGGATGTGTTCGTCATCATTTTCATTGATGATATTCTGGTATACTCGAGGAGTCAGGAGGAGCATGCGACTCACTTGAGGTTGGTTCTGGAGAAGCTTCGGGAGCAGAAGCTTTTTGCTAAGTTGAGCAAGTGCAGTTTCTGGCAGCGAGAGATGGGATTTCTTGGCCACATTGTTTCTGCAGAGGGAGTTTCTGTGGATCCGGCTAAGATTGAGGCTATCAGAGATTGGCCTAGACCTAGTAGTGCCACCGAGATCAGGAGTTTTCTGGGTTTGGCAGGATACTACAGGAGGTTCGTCAAGGGGTTTGCTACCATGGCGCAGCCGATGACGAAGTTGACCGGGAAGGATGTCCCGTTTGTTTGGTCAGCTGAGTGTGAGGAGAGCTTTAGTCAGCTCAAGGAGATGTTGACTACTACACCAGTGTTGGCGTTACCCGAGCCAGGGAAGCCTTACATGGTGTATACAGATGCTTCAGGCATTGGTCTTGGTTGTGTGCTGATGCAGGAGGGCAGAGTGATAGCATATGCTTCGAGACAGTGGCAGGGCAGTGAGCGTAACCGTCCTACACATGACTTAGAGTTGGGAGCAGTGATCTTCGCGTTGAAGATTTGGAGGTCTTACTTGCTAGGTGAGACAGTACAGGTCTTCACGGATCACAAGAGTTTGCAGCATATCTTCACTCAGCCGATGATGAACGCGAGACAGACGCGCTGGGTTGAGTTCTTGGCGGACTATCAGGTGAGCATTAACTACCATCCGGGCAAGGCTAACCTAGTGGCGGACGCGTTGAGTAGACGGAGGTATGATTCCGCAGTTGAGCGAGATGTGGAGTCTCTAGTTGGCGAGATCAGTACCTTGCGTTTGTGTGCCATTTCGCAGGAGCCTTTGGGTTTAGAGGCAGTGGATCAGGCGGATCTACTTAGCAGGATCAGAGTTGCTCAGCAGAGTGATCAGAGTTTGCTGGATGCGACGAGAGTGACTGGTTCTGAGTATGAGGTCTCTGCGAATGGGACTATCTTGGTTCGTGGGCGAGTTTGTGTGCCTAAGGATGTGGAGTTGAGACATCAGATTTTGGGAGAGGCTCACGCGAGCAAGTTTTCCATTCATCCGGGAGCGACCAAGATGTACCATGACCTCAAGAGGTACTATCATTGGGTCGGGATGAAGAGGGATGTAGCAGACTGGGTTGCGAAGTGCAACACTTGTGCCTTGGTGAAGGCAGAGCATCAGGTTCCGGGTGGTCTTTTGCAGAGTTTACCCATTCCAGAGTGGAAGTGGGACAGGATTACGATGGATTTCGTGGTTGGACTACCTGTTTCGAGGACTTTCGATGCTATTGGGTGATTGTGGATCGGTTGACTAAGTCCGCACATTTCTTGGCCATCAAGAAGACAGATGGAGCTGCTGTTTTGGCTAGGAAGTTTGTGCGAGAGATTGTGAGGCTGCATGGAGTGCCAGCTAGTATTGTGTCAGACCGTGATCCCAGATTCACTTCAGAGTTTTGGAGAGCGTTTCAGGCAGAGATGGGCACTAAGGTGCATTTGAGTACAGCTTATCATCCGCAGACAGATGGTCAGTCAGAGAGGACTATTCAGACTTTGGAGGATTTGCTGAGGATGTGTGTGTTGGATTGGGGTGGCCATTGGGCAGATCACCTGAGCTTAGTTGAGTTTGCATACAACAACAGCTTTCAGGCGAGTATTGGCATGGCTCCATTTGAGGCTTTGTATGGGAAGCCATGTAGGACACCC